TCCATGTAGGGCTGGGCTGTTGCGAACTCAGTGCTACCCTATCCCAGACTATTGGAAATAAGAGGCTGAGGGAGTTTTGGCGTCGCATCAGCGAATGTTCCGCAGAAGCTGAACTTGAATGGCTAGACCTGCGGTTGTGCCCCCCTCCCTTGTAGGTTCTAATATCTATAGTAAAACGCGGTTTCGTTACCGGCATCAATCCCGACAGGTCATCACTCGCATGTGAGAACCGACAGAAATTTCCCATCCTAGAGAAAAAGAAATGCCACCAATGCAGCTACCCGCATAGCTCATCCCCGAATACATACAAACGCCATAACGGTCAGTACTGACCAACCAGTTCTGCTACCACGGCATTGGTCTTACGCGGAACATTCGGCCAACCTTCCAATTCCCTTCCCGAGCTTTTCATCTCCACTCCTCTCGGTGTAGGCCGAACCCAAGACATGACCAACTCGACGAGGCGTTCATTGGCCTGGGATGTGAAACCATCTGAAGAAACTCCCACCCACGTCCTCCTTTGAGTAAAGCTTACAGTCTAGGTCGTCGCGTTGCGCAATATACATGCAGGCTCCATCTTGCATGCATACATTAAATGGGAGATAGGGGAGAGATGCAGGTTCGTCACATGTGTCATCTCACGGGACGCTCCCGCTCTAGGACCTGCAGAAAATCAGCTGTTTCATTGCCGGCTGCGGAGCCGGTCTGACCTTCCCTTAGCCGTAACGTTGCTAGTTAGGGCAGAAAGGTTTGATCGCCATCGCTCCTTGCGGATTGTGGCGTCGGTCGATTTAGTTTACCTAGCTTCTTTCGATACGCTTCACGAATCTTTCCCCTTTGCGTCGAGGCGTGGAGAAAGATTCATATGCGTCTTATCTTATCGTAACGGCGACCGAACTGTAGGTAGCCATGGCAGAATGGGTCATCCCGAAGTGGCTCCCGAAAGGAGTCATACGTTCCTGTTTAGGAAGGGGGGCGGGAGGAGGATAGGTAAGAAGGAGGAATCAGGTCCCGTCTGAAAGTATTTGTGCTACTTACTTTATGCAGCTGGCCGTGGTCCTACAGCTGGTGTAATGCAGCGATGAGGTCGAGGTTCTTCTTTCCAGAATGTCAAAGTACCTAGTGTATATTTTCTTGTCTAGATCCTTCGAAAAGGAGCACATTGGTCATTTGTCTTAAGAACATGGTCCCTTTAAGTCATACCTTTCCCTTTCTAAATTAGTTATGAACAGTATATCACATCCATAACTGTCCTCATTTGCTGTGACTAAGTTACTTAGGTAATTATAGAAAATATACCTTTATATTTAACGTCCTTAAGCCCTAGTGGGCTTTAAATCCCTTGCATAGTATATAGTATATACAGATTGACATAATAATAACGAGGAAATTATTTTTTTCAGTACTTACAAAAATAAAAATATTCTAGGTTAATACACCCATTTTATTAATCTTCTATTACTTGGACTAATAGTAGTGTTGGATTGACTTTGTATTACGTAATAAGATGTAAAGGAATGCAAATAAGGACTGTGTTCTGATTGGTTGTATATTAAGGTAAGAGAGGAGGGGTTCCCCCGAGTGGGGAAAGATATCTATTGTACAGATGTGTGGGCTGTGCGTGGGCGGTGTGTGTGGGCATAACCCTGGTCATGTGACGAGGTCACATGACCGTTATCCCAACAAGTAGAAAGTATTTACCATGTATATTGTTTAGGTTAACTGTTATGTTACGAATTAGTAGTTCTATAAAAAGCTTAGTGGTATTTAATTTCTTTTAGAGACATGAACACCAACTTAGGATAGTTATAACTAAAACAATTCACACGATGCGTTTGTGTAGTATATAGTTTGTGAACGAAAGAGTTTCTGTCTCTTTGTAGTGGTTCAACGCCGCGAAGCTCTTTTGTCTGGCCGGGCTTGGGTAAGTTCAACAAGGGGTAATATATACATAGGTGGGATTGTTAGTCCAAGTCTGCAGAGGCTAGGGTTTATGCTCCTGGGTAGGCTGCTGAGGATGCACGTAAGTCTAGGTATCTATCTAACTACAGTGGGTATAGGGGTGGTTGCGTGTAGTAGATGTGGTTATGATATGCATTACACACACTTCGGCTCGTTTCCAACCCAAAGTTCGTTTGTTCAAGTTGGTCTCGGCTTGACAGCTGCGGAAACGAATGGATACAAAACCCCTACTAGTTCCCGATCTTTTCATTGAACTCGGCTTCGATCCTATGGCAGAGTAGGAACTTGGTCTTACTATTCGAGTTTAATGTTATCAGGCTTTTGTCAGGTTTTATTTTTCTTGCTGGTCTTGTATTTTAATACATTTTCTTTTCTGGTGTTTTCTATGAAATAAGGATGGAAAGCAGTGTTTAAGAAACGCTGCCAGTTACTATCTCTTTACCTTACATATAATCTTACATATTATCTTACCCATTACCACCAACCAGTGTATAAGACTTTAGAAAACTATTGCGAAGGGGTAAAGTCATAGCTGTGGCAATAATCTTAGAAGGGGGTAGCAACCAAATTACTATTAGGACTGCTTTTTTCCTTATCTCACAATGCGTACGACGACAAAATTGCAGCTATAGCTTGGTTCTTTTAACGGTACTTAAACTCCTACTTGTATTTACAAAAGTAAAAAAAGTCACACCTTGACGTGCTAGGTATAGATACAAATGTTAAGACTAGTAATAATACACTTTTACGAGATCTTAATCCTATAAATCACGGTAAATTTATCAATTATAAATAAAAGATAACAAGTTGCTTCTTAGTATTATATGTATTAAATATATCTACTTATATAATAAAGGAGCTAAATAGGTTGTTATATATAGACGATTGGTTTAGGCTGGTATTGACATATACAACTCTTAATTTAAATACCTTAGCTGAAATACCTTTAGAATACCGTCTTTCACCTAGTACACTTCTCATGTTGTAAAGGTAACATAAGAACGAGTAATAAATACCAGGTTATAACATGACCCCATTTTTACTTCGCCGGGTTTACTCTCTGCTTGATTTACTTATAAATTAATTTCATATGAATACTTTAACACAAACGATGCTAATCGAAGTTTAAAAATGAATCGTAACTCCGACTTAATCTTTTAGCTTTGTTACATGAAAAAGGGACACATAATAGAATTGAAGGCTTTAGCTTCTCGAGAAGCGTACTCTTAAAATTGAGTAGCAGAGAGAAAATGTAGACGATGTTTCCCTTTTCGGTGCTGCTACTGCTATATCCCGTTGTTTTCTTTGGTATATGGCAGACGCTATAGATTAAATCTCCAATCCCACCTCTAACTCACCAGAGATCGTCTAGGGATCTTACATGATCTCATGTTAGAATGGGAAATGCAAATAGACATATTAATAGCAGCAAATATCTCAACTTAGACCATTTGGAATAAATATTTAGTCTGGAACGTTTTAGCCGATGAACATTGCCTAGCTGAACGCATATTTATCCAGCTCATGGGATGTATTCAGCAGCCCCTGAAAAAATCTCTAATGAAAACAAATTAAGAAATCATATTCTACTTGGCAAGTGACGTCCAGCTTAATTATAACTCTTCATTCTTCCACTTAACTCAGACCCTCTGCTAGCTTAAGCGCGTATGAAAAAATCCCACCCTAGGTACTTGGCTCGGTGAGATATAAAAGGGGACCGGAGCTAGCCTGTTAGCAGTGATAAAAGAAATGTATCACGAGTTGGAGCAAAGAAGCATGGAAATAACTGCAAGGAACTCTGACCTAATTATGAGAACCTATGGCTATGCATACTGAAAGTATCCTCTGTTTTAGATGAGACGTGTAACCTAGACTCCTAACGAAATGTTACCCAGGGAATTACTCTCTCTAACGCTCTTATAACTCGTAAGCATGCACAACCATCTAGTAAATAAGAAGTTGAAAGCTCATCGCTACCTATTCTCCCATCAGTTTACATATCTGCTGTTTGATCTTTCTATCGTATTAGTGTTAAGATTATGGATAATACTTTTAGTATGCATTAGGTAGGTAAATACGGGCTCCGATAGTTAGGTGCCTAAGGTTTGGAGTTCCTTGCAGAGTAACAAAGTTGTTTCTATGCTTTCCGGTTCCATCTCGTGATAGTTAAGATATAAGCAAGGAGCGGTTACCTATTGCCTAAGGAGAGATCATGTTCCCTTGTATAACTCCCCTTATACGTGTTTGCTAGCTGGGTGAGGTAGAGCAAACCAGCGAGGAAGAGGAACCTTCCTGGTTTCTCTATTCTAACGGTTTAAAATAGTATATGAATTCCCTATCGAGACTCAAAATGGGCCATGTAACTCGAGATAGATTACGTTAAAATAGAGCGCGTCGCTAAGTCTTTATTTCGCTAGAAGTTGGTCGCCCCTGAATATATAGGTTAATTGCTTCGCATTTTTAGTTCCGGCCAATGATGAGTTATATACGCAAGTGGTAAAACTGAAATGCGTGTCAAGAGACCCTATATAGTGAATTACATCAGGAGCTGTCTAAACGGAAAAGGATTCCTATAGTAGAAAGTTAAACATCTAAATTATATGGTCATGTTCGAATCTCTGTTGCTTCTTCCCCCAATCAATCTTAGAACACGCTCTAAGCCCCTGGATTGACTATATTTACTATTTAGGGAAATACAGTAACCCTAGCGGGAATATCATAAGTTTAGTTTATAACTCTTCTTAACTATCATACCCCTTTAATCCCGGGCCGTCCTTCTTTCCAAGGTTCTCAAATCAACTGATATAATGCACATGTAATAATCTGCTACGAAAGGATGACTTGGAAACAATCTAGATCCTGAAGGACGAGATATAAGATGAACCTGGATAACTAGACCGCAATTTCAGGCACAAAATAATATGAGAACCTAGCGAGTCCGATTCAACACCAAGTTCTACTACATGCCCTCAAGGAGGCGCGTGTCTTTCACGAGAAACAAAATCGCAAAGTAGCACAAGGCATAAGAGAGCGAACCCGACCATCCGCACCGACATCTCACGAGTTCTTCAGATTGTCTAGCTATCAAAACGTACATACATACATACATACATACATTCATATTTATGTACGAATATCAATTTTGAGGCTATCTCCAGGAACCCGTCGTGGCGAGTACATACTGAATCCATCTTAGTGCTTCGTCTAAGTTCCCGCTCACTCAAAGCAGCACCTTTCTGTTTTCAACTTGCGAGCGAGGTTAATAATCAGTAAGTCTTCGCAGACGATCAAGTTCACTTGTTAACAAGTATAAGTTCGCCCCAGGCTTCATAATTCGTTACTACGGCCACATCGCCGGTGGTACAGCTAGGTATCTAGAACTGATCTGTTATAAAACCCGCATTAGTACCCAACTCGCATCAACATAAATCACCCGTGGCCGGGGAGGGGGAAACTTACCTAAAGTCATGCTCATGCTAACGTCAGTATTCTCGACCATCTTAGTGAATTCCTCGAAGCTGATTTTGCCGTCCTTATCGAGGTCGGCCTCCATGATGGTCTTGTCGACGATCTGCTGGAGCTGCTGGTCCTTCAAGTTACTCCCAACCATCATCTTGAGCACGATGAAAAGCTCGCCGTTGCTGATGTATCCATCCCGGTCGATGTCGTAAACCTTAAATGCGAATCGCAGCTTCTGCTCCTTGTTGCCCTTGCTGCTGAACGCGCTCAGCCCCGACACGAACTCCTGGAAGTCCACGTCTCCGCCGCCGTCCTCATCGAAGATCGCTATCATTCTGTTTACGGGGAGAACATGGTTACGTTAGTCTCGAGTTTCTACGGGGGTATTCGGTGGCAGTGTAGGAGGCTAGGAGATTTGAGTGGGCGGAAGGGTGTACCTTGTGGCGAGCGGGTTTGACGATATTTGTGGTAAGCTCAGAAACTCTTCTCGTTCGATCGTGCCTGAGTTATCCTATGGATGCCAATCATATTAGCTTGGGCGCATATCGAAAGAGAGGGAGAGAGAGCTGGCCGGGGCGCTGTGTACTTTATCAAGCTTCATAAACCTCTTCCTCAGCCTATCAACCTCCTCCCGGTCGACTATACGGCGCAATTAGGACTATACTCGACGATAATCATGGGAGGAGCTGAATACATACAGTTCGACCCCTGCACGATGTTATCCAGCACGACGCTCGTTGTATTACCCATGTTGCTGGGAAGCCCCTTGGCGGAGGCGGATTCGAAATAACGGGACGGGGGACGGGGAGGCTGGATAAAGAGCTGTTATGTATATTCGGAGATGAGACTCGGTTGATTAAGCTGGGATATCACTGGTGTATATTTGCAGTTACGTCAAAGGAACGGGGTTATTCGTGGGGCTTGAAAGATGCTATTATGTTCACGTTCCGGCCTGCGATGTTCCGCTTGTGATGAGGCTGATGGAGAGTTGGGTGGGAATGCGGGCTGGTGGGGTCTGTCTTAACAAGGCGACCTTTAGATCTTAATTGCCTCTTTTACGTGTAGATGATTGGAGGAAGCACAGCCGCATCTGATAGCCCAAGCCACAGGGTACCTACTTCAGCTGAGGTACTTTGTACATGACTAAGTACCTAGGTAGGTACCTACATAACCTATGTACTTATGATTCAAGGCAGCCACTTATGTAATAGAGTGCGGTTACCTATATCAAAAACAATGAAATATCGAGAATAGAAATGGCTATTGACGGCTTAGTGGAAAGAAGGCGTACTTACATTTACAGATCCTTAGGTAGGTACTTATTGGATTCGTACCCAGGGATATACATCATGAAAGACATGAGTCTTTCAAAAGTATAAGGTATCTCCTTGCATAAAATTAGCAGTTAGAAGTCCTAAGACTAAAGTTCTTATCTGTCTTATCAAATATGGACCTATGGCTGATGACCTGTGGCTGGATACCTACCTAAGGTACCTTAGGTACTTGGAGGAGAAAATGCTCCTGACAACCAAGACATCTAAAGCTCGAAGATGCAACATACGATCTAACAGCATCTACAGTTACATGCAACTAAAGTACACCGCTGCATGCGAAGATAGAAAAAAAAATTCAACAAGATGCACGATGCGTTGGTCAGACAGATTGCTTTAGTTACATATACATAGGTAGGTAGGCTAGCGCGGTCGTTATTGTTTGTAAATACATACCTACATCATATTAACATGTATGTCTCAAATGCATAATTCTGGGTTAGGTCCCTCATTTTTGCAGGTAGATACCTAGGTACCGATCTGTACCTTAAGTATTGTATCTATTGGAAGTGATGACATGACCTCAATAACCTTATCAATATGGTTTATGTCTCGTGTTCGTTGCGTTGTTGTTCGTAAAGAAAGAAAAAGGGGTAATCTAGAAAGTACATGTAGAAAATACATATCAGGTTCAAGAATGGAAAGCAAAGAGGCGCCTGTCGCGGAAGTACTATTTTGTCTTTTACTGGATGCTATGTATCGCACCCCGGGTCTCCCCCTTTTCCCTTCCCCTCCCCCAAAAGTTGTTGCCCAAAATTACACGCTACCAAGCTGCAGCCAATCAGCATCCAGGATTCTAGATAGTTACGGGCTAGGAGGAAGGCGTAAGTCCTGTTTTGGTGGGGCTTCTTTCACACTCTGACCCTCTGCACAACCTGCACAATCACTATTCTCACTTTGTTGTTGCTGCTCGGGCTGCCTGCGGCGTCCAAGCAAAAATTTGCGCCCCAAAACAATTCAACGTCACCTCATCCAAGACGGACACTTCAACCATCAAAACAACCCCCAGAACAACCCTTCTAACTCTTAAAAAATTAATTTTTCATCAGTGCATGATCTAATTTTTTTGGTTCCCGAATTTTTTCGGGGGTTTTCCGACCTCTTTGTCGATTTTTACCCTACAATCCTTCTACACCGCTAACCGCCATGTCGACCCGGAAAGTGCGATACAAGAAACTTAACATCAAAACCCCTCTACCCGTACTTCGGGAAGACCAAATCGACCCCAACGAATATGAATCTCTCACAACCGAATCACAAATCGCAACTGGCGTCGAACAAGCGGAGGAAAATGTGAGTTATCAATACATTTCTTACCTTTCATATGCATATCACGTGACATGTCACGTGCTACAAGCGCTCTTGTCTTACCCATTTTGATATCAAGATATATCAAGGTATATCAAGGTAACGTCAACCACTTACCATAGGCTAACGTGCCTACCAATAGGAATACCATCTGCAGGCTGCCCTCAGAGGGGTTGGTGCAAGTACGGATAATGAGATCCCAGTGCCGCCGCCGCAGAAGAGCGAGGCGGACTATAATGAGCTGTATCCCACACCATATGTAGAGCCCAGAAATTACATAAAGTTCTCTGAAACTGTTGAAGAGACGCTCGGCTGTCTCTATGATATGACTACAGAGGATGAGGAATACCTCAAGTCCTACAATGCTAAGTGGACAGGAAATACTCAGCTCTCCGAGGATGATTTCGAGCGGATAATGGAAGTATTCGAAGATACCGCCGCAGAGCAAGCTCCCTTTGCTGCAGTTGACAATACAGTAGTGCCCTTTGACGTTATGGCCCAGGCTATGAACCACATAGTTCCCGTCAAGCTCGTTCAAGCACATGCTAAGAATGTCTACGAGTACTGGAAGACTCGACGGCAGGTGAGCGGCAGCAGGAGCTTGAACCCCTCGCTCAAGTTCGAAACTCATCAAGAGCATGATGATATGGACCCTTACGTCTGCTTCCGAAGGCGCGAAGTTCGACAGACGAGAAAGACGAGGGCACGCGACACGCAGGTGAGCGACAAGTTAAAGAAGTTGCGTAAGGAACTAGAAGATGCACGTCAGATTGTTGTCTTCTCATACCAACGAGAGATATTCAAGCGGGAAGTTTTGCGCAGCGATAAATCTATCTTCGAACAGCGAAATGGCCTCAAGGAGACTAAGAACCGCCTTGACATTAAAGGTGACGACGAAGACTTCTATAACGCTAGACCGCAGAAACGGCCTAGGACGGAGGCGCAACAACCAGCGCGCGCCGGCCCTCATGGCCAGCTCCGTCTGATTGTCCGTCCCGACGGAGGACGAACTGTGGAACCCGCCGATCTTGCTGTCTTGGCCGATAAACTCGCTGAAAAGGAGAATGAATTGCGTAACGACGTCGAGATAAAAATCCAGAACCATAGAAGATGGAACAACAACTATGTGGATCTGACTGCCGACCCGTTACCTCCCGTCCAGGAGGAGAAGGAGCTAAGCTTTAGGCCCGCGAAGACCACGTATTTGATGACTCCGCCGGCATCTGCATCAGATTCCATGGAGCCGGACGAGGAGACCCAATTAGATTCGCTTCAGTCTTTCCAGCAAATCTGCTCCAATGGTATCAACCTAGGTGGCGCAGAGCCCGAAGAGATGTGTTCGTACCGCCGTCGTATAGGGCGATTAAATCGCTTGTTTATCGACCGTCGACCACCCAAACTTAATGGGCACAAGAGTCCTCCGCGTGAGATGGACTTTACTCAGAGTGACCGTTGGAAATATGACCAGGATGACGATGACGATGACCAACCGGTGTATGAAGTGGACCCCAACAGCTCTCGTCAGATGAAATTCCGGTCGACAATACCGCCCTCGCCCTTCTTGTTTAAGAGACAAGGAGTCGATGCTGCTGCTCTCCAGGCAGGTAGCGTAAGTCGTCAGGCCCTCCCACCGCCCCAAGCACCAACAGCCCAGCCTCAGTCACAACGACCACCCCAGACATGAGATGGATCTCCAGTCAAGCCCTAAGCAGCCCTCACTAGGCTTATAAGGTTGATCTGGAGGGATTGGTGAAAACTGAAACGTAGCGCTCGGGTAATGCTTTTTCTGGGCGGTAAAAACCCAGGTAACAACCATCTTAGAGTCGGCCTTGTCTCAAGTGGTTGCTTGATACAGCAGTATACCATGTCCTAGAAAAGGCGAGTGTATTTACCTGTTCCGTCCCGCAAACGAGAGCAGGCACGAGTCATATCGACCCTAAGCGCACCCCATTCAGCGATATTTTGAGCATAAATGGAGCGCCCTGCGGGTTTTATCGTTGAAATTAAAGATCGACCAATATGCCCATCCCTCTCGCCAGTTTTGATAAGTTCGCATTAGCAACCTGTACATACTCCCGCGAGCATACGAGCTGAACGAAGATAGCAAACCGAGAGGCGTAGCCGATCACTGTTTTGATGTAATATATAGCACGCAGAGCGATATGCATAGCCGGCGGAGTTAGGGGCGCGCTCGAACATGATGTTTAGGGCTCTGAATGATGAAAGAGGCAAAGAGCACCAATGTATGAATACAAATACCTCGTGTTCTATTCGTGGTTGCATTTGATTTGACTGGTACGCGTGATGCTTGTTCTCGTATTCGATGATTGTTTCCAAAAAGGCCCAGACCTATAAATGTTGTCGATGTGTTGTTTTGCATAGCTTGACAGGTGGTCATGCTTCCTAGAAGGTTGACTAGAGGATTTGCCCCTAGGAAAAGTATTGACGAGTTTGCGCTGCTCTTAGCATGCTGTTCGAGTCATGTCCGAGGCCGAAATAGCGACAGCCCTATTCCTCGGTCAAGGATTCTCATCGCAAAAGGTATTGGGCTAGGACACAAATCGCCGTGCGATAATATGGTCTTGGGCGTTTCCGCTTCTCGGTTCTCCTAACTTAGAATGATCATAGGGTGACGGAGCTTACTAGGATTGCCACAACTTAGCTTATATGCACCATGTAAAAAAGCAAGACGAAAAAAATTCGAAAGCATAAAATCAGATATGAAGTTAATCCCAGGTATTGGAGTTTGACGTCGTTGGTCGAAGATCTTATAGCTGATTGGTATCTGACGTCGGAGATACCGTGCGGAGAAAGTGATATACATGGGTGTTGCGATTCTAACCGAAAGCTAGAGAAGGACTTACGAATAAATAATGTATAGCCACTATATTGCCAGAGGCGGATTAAAAGCACAAAAATATTGCGCTTTGCACAGTTGACTAAGTAACTGACATAAGAAAGGCGTTGCGTTCATATCAGCGACCCCGGCGCACTGTCACGGCCTCGAGGGAATCCTTCTTGGGTAAGCAAGGTATACTCGACAGTAACCTACTGCGAGACTAACGAGAATATAGGGCCACGAGATTTAAAAGTATAGTAGTAATGTAGAGGTTATCCGTCTCTTCCTAGCATCGACGATTCTGCAGTCGGTGGTGTGTGTGACAGAGATCGATTGGGCGGAGAGTGTGGGATTTCGCACAGTCGCAGGGTTGCCGACTTGCAGGAGAAGCTCGCAACGGGTAGATAGCTGATAGACACGGCCATTGTCTTGAATTGCAGGAAATTTCAGGTTGTGAGAAGGCTGAGAATATCAAGAGTATATTATCTGCGAGAGAAAAAGGTCAGCGATGGTTAGAGAGCGGGCTAGATAGGTGGTCGTCTCGGATTATCGATCAGGAATGGCGAATCGCTACACATGTAGCTCCTGTTTAAAAAGTACACAGACAAGGGGGCGATACGGGTGTAAGACTGAAGAAATACAAGAGGTTACAAAGAATCGGAAGTATGGGAGAATAGCACGGGTGTGTATGTCAAGTTTGTATGTCAAGTTTGTGGGAGGAAGGGCAAGCAAGAGGTTGGAAAGGGTAGAGCAAAAAGCGATTTGGTAATATTTCTCCTTGGTGCTAAGTTAAAGAGGACTGAAGGCTATTATTACCCGTCAAGAACATTAGGTGAGTAAGTGCGGTTGCCCCACTCTAACGCAACTCGACAGACAGCCAACTGGTACCTAGGTAAACATTAAGGCGCCGGAGACCCACCGGCAAAGCTGCACACTAGGCCAATTGGGGAAGACGGTCTATCGATAAGGGTCGTCAGCTTAAAGATTTTAGTCGTCATTGGAGGGGTCTCTGCACCTGCGTTCCCGCTCTTACATAGCAGATACATATGTAGGCGAGGACCCCACCGCGAGATAGCCTCATAGTAGCTACCTACCTGCATACTTTCTTATACAGATCTAACTATTACTTACACAAAACTTTCTATACCATGGGAATTTCGAATATGATAATACTATAACCATATGCTTTAAACGAGCTAGTGCAATATTCCTTCAAGACTTTGTTTAACCTTAAAATTTCTAAACACCAGGTGTTCCATCCCTCATATACATATCAAAATAGCCCCGCAGCCAGAACAGCTATATAGAGTATAGAGTCTAGACCCTACTGCTATACATCACAATAAACGAAACAAGACAAGACAAGCCATGGCGGCAAAGCAACAACCCCCCTCCACCACCACCCCCCTCCTAGCCATCGGCTGCGAAGGCAGCGCCAACAAACTCGGCATCGGCATAATATCCCACGACCCAACCACCGGCCAATCCGCCATCCTAGCCAACATCCGCGACACTTTCGTATCCCCCCCCGGAACCGGCTTCCTCCCCAAGGACACCGCGCGGCACCACCGCGCGTTCTTCGCCCGCGTCGCCCGCGCCGCCCTAGCCGCGGCCGGCATATCCCGCCCGGGGGAGCAGCTCCACTGCGTATGCTACACCAAGGGACCCGGCATGGGCGCGCCCCTGCAGTCCGTCGCCGTCGCCGCGCGCACCCTCGCCCTGCTCTGGCGCCTCCCCCTCGTCGCCGTGAACCACTGCGTCGGCCACATCGAGATGGGCCGCCAGATCACCGGCGCCGCCGACCCCGTCGTGCTGTACGTCTCGGGCGGCAACACCCAGGTCATCGCCTACGCCGAGCGCCGGTACCGCATCTTCGGCGAGACCCTGGATATTGCCGTAGGCAACTGCCTCGACCGCTTTGCGCGCACCCTCGCCATCAGCAACGATCCGGCTCCGGGCTACAACATCGAGTTGCTGGCTCGGCGCTCCAAAGGTCGCGTCTTGCTTGACTTGCCGTACGCGGTTAAGGGCATGGATTGTAGTTTTAGCGGTATCCTGACTGCGGCCGATCTGCTAGCCGCGCAGATGCGCGAGCAGGAGGCGCGCATTGCGGCGGGCGAGGAGGTCAAGGAGGAGGATAGGATTACGCCCGAGGACCTGTGTTACAGTCTCCAGGAGACTATTTATGCCATGCTCGTCGAGATCACCGAACGCGCCATGGCGCACGTGGGCAGTAACCAGGTGCTCATTGTTGGTGGCGTAGGATGCAACGAACGTTTACAAGAGATGATGGGACAGATGGCTAAGGAGAGAGGCGGGAGCGTGTATGCGACTGACGAGCGCTTTTGCATTGACAACGGCATCATGATCGCCCACGCAGGTCTACTAGCCTATGAGACAGGATTCCGTACGCCCCTAGAGGACAGTACTTGTACGCAACGATTCAGAACAGATGAAGTCTATGTCAAATGGAGAGATTAAGAGCAAGTCTAATATGCCCAATTGTGATTGTGCCGGATTTCTCTAAATTTATTACCAGTATTGTCTAAATGGATTCCGTATGTTCTGCCTGAGCAGATATAACCTTTACATCATAACGCATCCTTCTATGGTTTCATGAAATCGTATTATCCTCATACATAGCAACCCGATTTTATAATTCGAATCGTTGCGCAACGCATTTTACACGAGCAACCCATTGCTGCAACCCATTACTGAATTCATCACCTTCTTGCTGATGCAAGACGCGGGACACTGATCGGTGCTGCACTCCAAATCCCGGAGTCGTGTTCTAAGCACAGCATATAGAACTTCTCCCTGTCCTGATTACAAGCCCATAGCGGGACGTTTTGCCATCATTGAAATAAGCTCCCATACAACAGGAAATGTGACGTATCCGAGGGACATCCGACACAATCTCATACTTTTACCACGAACATCGAGAAAAAAAAAAAAAAAAACTATTCGTTCTTTGTAGCCTTGTAAATAATTGTAGTCACATACTTTATAGCCGTTAGTTCTAAAAGTTCGAGAAAGGTAACAATAAGTAACTTACCTTATTCTGGTACCTGGTAGTGGCCGATACGGCAAGGACATTGTTCTTAATACTACAAGTAGCCAGGTGATTAAGCATAGTGTGGTTTGGCATGTTCAGGACGCTGTTGTCATCCTTGATCAATGTGACATTGTTCATGATTGGCTTACTCAAGAAACCAGGTAGGCTGGGCGGCGGTGGGAGTCGTTCGAGGGCTAAAGAAGAAAGCTTATACGATGAAGAATCCTCGGGCTGGTCAAAATCGTCTAGATATTGGGGGATCTTGCCCGAGAAATTCTCAACCGGATCTATAACCTTCTGCTGGGGGCCCCTAGCAGAGTCGTCGTGCGAAGGCTGCCTTGAAGGAAGAGATAGAGCAGCCTCGTTCGATTTAGGAACACCGACATCTAAGGGGACGTTCCGCGAGTCGGTATCTTCTCCGCTTACTTCAATATAGTTTACCAGATTGTTTCCAAAATCGACAGTAGTAGGCAGGTCTGGCGACGTCTGCATATTGCCATCGACTAAGAATTTTATATGATGCGTGCCTGGAAAAACGGGTATTACCGTCTCTAGCACGTTCTCCTTATCCTTACTATAGCCCGAAAGGTGTCAGCAGTCAACGATCAAAAGTCTTACTTGCCCAGCCGAAGTTACCTAGCGTACGAGGTCGTCGCCTGGTCGCTAGATATTCGAAGCCGAATTAATAACTGCGAGAAGACAAAAACTCACGATGGAACCAATCGCTGTTTCCTACTCCATTGAAATGGCGTTCCTGTAATATAGACCTTCTGACCGCCCCGCGACCACTCAATCCGGGTTGGTATCGTAGGTCTCGTCTTGTCGACCCGAAGTTCTTCGGTGTCATCCTCGTCAGTCGCATTGCTAAGTCCTGATGTACGACGAGTTAGACTAGCCGAGTCATCGAGGGATGCGACGTCGTCAACGCCCTTAACGTCAGCATCGCTTGGTGCGATGATCGGCGACCCGGGAGTATGGATCTCTTCCTCTATCGGGAGCGGGAGCCGCGGCGGCCGAGGGTGTGGATAGGACATATCCTGGATGCTGCTGGAGGCGGGGCCTGATATTAGGCTGTCCTCGTCATGGAAATCGTGGATATAAGATGAGACCTGTTCCGAATGGGAAGAGGAGAAGGGAACGGCTACAGGCTTGGAGTGTTCATCTTTAATTTCGGCAGGCTTCGGCTTCTGCTCGGGAACCTTAGGAACATTGGTGGAGTGGTAAGAGCTAGCTGAAGGTGAGGACGAGTTAAGTATGGAGAGCGGTCTCGAATTCTTGTTAAGTATCGAAGTACCGGTTGCCTGGATGGTCGAGGCTTCGGGAGAGGCTGGTGACCTAATGTTCTGGTTATGGATGGATACCAGGTTCTTGGGCTGGTTCTTAGAAGCTCGCGGAGATTCCTGGGACGAAGACGAGGCAGTAGTGGGGGTAGCCGGCTTCGACGTTGAGGAAGGGTTGTTTCCCATTGTCTGGCGTGGGGGACTGGGGAAGGAAAGGATTTCCCCCCTTTGATGGCTAGGCTTGCCTGTTCCTATGGGAATTTAGAAAGGGGCTATGGACTATGGGTAATAGGTAATGAGTATTGGATATCCGGGCAATAGACAATGGTTCAATGGCGGGGAAGTCAGAAGCTGACAGGGCGGGATGTGGTGCGTCGTGCGTCGTGGGCCGTGGGCAAGCTGCGCGGGTACCGCAAGAGAGCAGCGGTGTGACGGAAGAGGATTTACTAGATTTGCTTGGATTTGCTTGGATTTGTCGGAAGTGAGTCAAGCTGAGGACGAGTAAACGTGGATCATGGCAAGCAAAAATTGGTCATGGGACCGTTTTCGCGATTTTTAAGTAGTTGGAGTGATGAGACAAGCAAAAAACAAAGCACGGGTAAGCGATTGGGCAGTCGGGAGGGGGGGGAAGATCTAAACGAGGGAAGGACGAGGTTCAGGTCCAAGTTTAGGTTGTCTAGGATGTCTAAGGTTGTCCTTCCAAGTTCCATGATAACCGTGAATCCACTCAATCGATATCCCCTGCTCCTTCCTGCCGTTCCTCCCTTGCCCGCTTTAGTCCCCGGGCAGTCAGCAAATAGCGCACGGACCACACGCCGAATACATATCACCGCAAGGATGCAAGATGTACTTAACTACGTAATCAGACTAGCCCAGGTACCTACTTTAATATAAGGTACCTAGGTATGTACCTCTCATGATTCCATCATTTATACAAACATTTATATAATTGTACCTAATATAATGATCTGACGGCATATACATAGGTATAAGGATTCAACTAAGAAGGGAACTAGGTTACAAAGATAAAAAGAATTCACATTAATAGAGCATACATATGCACATTGTTTGTATGAGACGATAAAAGAGACATTTTAATATAGGTATACATGCATCACAAAATATATGTTCTCGTCGAGGTCAGTCAGCGGTGAGCACTATTAAGAGGTACGTACAATACCAAATACAAATACATACCTACATGTACCTTAACTGATTGAGCCGCTTGGCTGCACGTGGGTAGGTAGGTATGTATGTACTATGTATGTACATACATACATGTACATAGGTAGGTATTCAATTACATAACAGTCGTGAGCCTCTCCAAATCTCCCCCATGACCCAGAAGTCTCAAATACATTCCCGGAAGCCACATGCAAGCTTCGATCGACTTGATCATCGATTGGAACTAAGTTACAAACCTGTCTCAACTTTGTAAAACCTAGAGCCTACATACACTACTATAGTAAGTACTGACTTACCCCAAATCGGATCGGACAACCGCATCATATAATACGCGTTTTGTGGTACCTAAGCAGATCATCTGAATCTGCACCTGCGCGTTGCCAAGACCGGAAGTGTCACCTTCGTCATACCTTATCCGACGACAATACATACCTAGGTTAGGTAGTAATCTTACTCGGTTGAGAGACCGAGATAGTTGACACAATATACCGGAGACAACAATCCCGCAAACTGCAGACTGCAAACCAGCTTTTTCGCCTGTCGACTTTACTTTCCAAGTTCTCCAGTTAGAAAATAACACAAGAGAGATCACCGGTTACGCCGTGTTCAGGCTATCCAGGCCACAAGGCCACGAGGCCAATCCGCAGCAATGGATTGGCTCAAGTTCCTGAAGCCCTTACAGACGTTTAGCACCGAATACCTATATCCCGCGCTCAAGCTTATGCTAAAGCTGTGCTATATCGTCACGATACCTCTACACTATCCAATCTATTATCTTTTTACTCTAGTCGTATTTCTCTTATCTCCCATCTGGTACATACTTCATTCGATCTCGAGTACGACCGTAGCTGTTGTGGGTTTAGCTGCTAAGCTCAAGGTATTCTCCTATAGCCTGCTCTGTGATAACCCCTCATAATTATCCCGCGTAGATAGCAAAGCTCGGATGCTAATCGTAAGATAGTACCTTTATATTTACGTAAGGATATCCAATTGCAATAGCATAATGTTCGGGAGCACCGGTAATCATACTAATCTTAATACCCAAAATGCAGTTCGCCTACGCAGCTATTATAGGTATATGTGCCGGCTGCGCGCTCTATGGGACGTCCAACCTCGTCTTCGTCACGCTGGGTGTCGATGCATCACAAGATCGAGATCCAGATTATCTTAGGAAGGATAAACTCGCGCTCTCAGATGACGACGATCAGGAACCTCATGAACTAGACTCCGGTACACGTTCCGGGGATAGCTCTAACAAGCTATCCACAGCCAGTTCAGCCTCGAGGCGCATGAAATCAAAGCAGAAAGTAAAAGATGATACGAACGAGATATTCGAAAGGCAGTGGAAGCTACTGAGGTCTTCTGAAAAGCCGAAGAGGCGACGCAGGGGTTTGCTTTCTCAGACTATTCACGAGGAAAGTAGTAGCGACTTTTCGTAATGATCTCGATGAGTCCCCGAGGCGGGGCTTTGAGGCTATTCCGCACTCAGGTCGTACATGATCGGCAAGTGTCAGATTCATATATCAATTTACAGTATGCACGCGTCGTTTAACCATACACCATAGTCCATGTGAAAGTTCATGACTATCTAACTAGCTAAACTATGATCTTAAACCAGGCCGTAGGCTAGAAAGCTCAAGACTGAAAATACAATAGTTACGGACTTGTCAGGGGTTAAACAGAACTCGCCTCCGTCACAAGCTAGTAGCTATACTGGACATGTTGGAAACTGGTGTTATCAATGTCTTTCATAATAACTCTAAGATACCTACCTGCAACAAAATAACCAGGTCTAGGTTGGCGCCTACATGCCGGACTATAATTACGTAACTACCTATATAATGCAAACTAGGTCGTAATGAAGAACGCAAGCATTACTCGTAAACGTCAAACAACAAACTCTCCACTCAAATTTACACTACCATCATAACCAAACACCCAACAGCACCTAAAACCCCCAGCAAACCTGCCTGCGAGAGACGTCCCGCCGCGGCCGTAGTAGTCGGCGACGTAACAGCTTCACCATCCGTCCCCGTGTTCTGAGCAGACTCTGTACTAACGACCGGCCCCGATCCCGATCCCGATCCCGACGCTGACGTTGACGCTGACGTCGACGTCGACGTCTGAGTCACCTGCCCGCCCTGGCTACTTGTACCCTGCGGCAACTCCGACGGGCTCGCCCTAAACGGAGCCGTGTACGTAAAACTAGAACTGGACGTAATCGGCACCGCGGTCTGCGTCTCGTACCACCTCCGCCATTCCAAGCCCTGGCTTACAGCTACTGAGTTACAGCATTAGACACCTCAGTTCTTAGTTATCTTATCCCTATACCTATGCAGATACTTCCACTCCAACTCCAATCCCGTCCCCAATCCCAACTAACCCTAACCAGAAGAAGAAAAAAGAAAGAAAAGAAAAACTCACGCAGTAGGCACGGTACGGAATCCGCTTTGAACGGCGGCAATCCGTCGGGCGTGTCCTCGCATACGAGGGGATCTGGAATCTTCTGCGCGAGAGCCGACGCGACAGTGAGGGATAAAGTCAGGTATTTGTTCATATTTTACCTTCTTTTTTTTTTCGTGTTAGTGAGTTGTTGTTATTTATCTTACCTCTAAACATTGGTATTATAACAACAAATGTAAAAGCGCCCTCAGGTGCCCGAGTCACGAGATATATATATGTACATATAATCATATAATATAGCCCTGTACCAACATCGTTCTGTTTAGCCTATCAGAATCCTACGCCTTACAAGTCGGGCGACGAAATCCCATGTCACCTTCTTATTGAATGATATGGGTCGTATGTCATCGCGTCTGAATGGAGGTACGCATCTTGGCAATGCAATAGGACAGTGGGATAATAGTAATAAAGCAATGCTAAAGGACCGTTGATGCCATGAAACGTCCTCGAGGGTTTACTAAATGTTTCGAAGGCTTCGCTAAACCCCCTGGATAAGGCCCGCAATTGCTTGCTATTGTTGGTGTGTGTGGCTTAATATTCATAAATATGACATTTCATTTCTACAGGATGTTATTTATGTTCTATCGTACCGCTAACCATATCTTAACGTCAGCCATTTTCATAGCTTCCGCGAGCACTTAGATATACCCTGTCAACTTCACGATACCGTACTCGGGATTTTCCAATCGGCCCCGGAGGTTATCGACCGCTCTCTCCATTGCTTTGCGTTTTTCGGTTTTGAGCTTTTCGGGCCTTCTCGATTCATTTTTGTCCTTCGAGTATATCAGTGATGATAGGCTCAATAATCTAGAGTTCCTGTACCTGCCGGAAGGCTGATATAGTGTCAGGTCGTGGAGAATGACTTCGCCAAGTAAGCAAAGTAATTTGATTTATTAAAGGATAGGAGAGGATGTGGAGCTACCAGAATGGTAGGCTCAATACTTGATCTGTAACCCTTATTATATATCATTGTCTTACAAGCGATGTCCATTTCGATTGTACGCTTTTCCGCATTAAGACCCCGTCGATCTCTTCAGTTTCTTCAGTTTCTTCGTTTTCGTCTAGGGCTTTAAAAGTGATTAGATCGTGATCGGCAATCTCCTCGTTCTCGGAATCTAATTCCTTGTCTTCAGCTTCGTCAATTTCGTCGTCGTCGTTGATTCGATTTCCACACTGAAAGGTCTCCCCACTCAAACTCATGATCAACGACCTACTGACGATTATCGCTGTCCATCTTTACGTATTCCATCATAACTTCGGCTGGTATTGTTTAAGTCGTTTTGTGTTTCTTTAAGCCTTGTTGCTGTAAGATTCCGAAACGTGAGTGCGCATCGTATGTTTTGGACTTGAGTCAAACTAGTTATGTGATAGAACCCATAGCCTAAAGGATTTTTCTTAAGGCGGCGTGTTTGATAAATGTTAGGGTACGGTGGTTGTTCTTGTGATAAACAGTACAAAGCTTCTATCTGCTAAAGTTTGTGTTGTAATGGTTGGCGTCTAAGTGTTTTCAATATTGTAGCGTAGAGGAGACTCGCCCAACATCATCAGCTAACAATCTTACCGAGGCCACATGTTGCTTGTCCTCAGCATTCACGAGGTTCATTCGTCTGTCTTAAGCTGTATAGACAATATCCATGTCTTTGACGCAGAATTGTCTCGGCCGGATCAGTCCTGACATGATAGCCCCGGCTGAAAGTAAGCCAGCAATAGCGAGGGCAAGTAACTGGTATTAGTCTTAGGTAGCCAATCCGTGTAAGTGTTTTGACGTAACTTCTAACCTTAGTATATTTCTGTTAAAAAGGGGATAAAGAAACTCCTATTTTTGCTCCGATACCTCTGTATTGGCCGAAGTGTGGCAGGTATATAGTAGATGATTGTGTTTCGTTAAGTACCTATTTACCAGGATGTCGACTCCTTTCTGTTTGTCGAACCATGGTCTGGGGCCGGCGGTGCAGACTGCATAGCACCAGTATGTCATGGGGTCCTCGATCCATTTGTTGTCCCGATACAAGCGCTAATGTTGTATAAATATTATAGGTTGCTGAGAATGATTAAGAGGTGGCCCTGAAAAAGCTTCCCCGTGGAGTAGAAGTAGAATGCAGAATTCAAGAGGGGTACTGTACCTAAGAAGCAAATGTTAGCAGACGGAAAGAAAAAAGCGCAGGCCCGGTAAGAACTTACCTATTAAACGCCACGAAGATGGCTTCAGGGGCGTTAGTCCGATAGTCGGCACCCTCAGCCCAAACAATATCCTCGACAGTTCCGAGAGCACCATTCACCAAGCCAAGACCAACCGAGAGATTTTCAGTAAACATGACGCGAGCGCCAATACACACGGGCAGGTGCAATTATAAGTTACCAGCATTGCGATCATTGCACCCAAGGGTCCACCCATGTAAGTCCTCGTTCGATTCGAGGCACGAGCATAAGTCTTTCAACGTAAGTTTTCAGCCCACATAGCTTGAAGTAGAGATCTCATCATATCCGGGGTAAGGGTCTTGCCAGACAGGGGTTTTACTTAACCCCAACACCGGGGTACATAGTAGTACCTTTCTTTCAAAGTAGCATTGATGGATTCTGGTTGCATCACCCATACGAGGCCAAGGGCCAGCAATGCCTCGGTGATACCTGTGGGTAGTTTTCCGAAGCCGCTTGTTGAGTCGCCATTGATTCGAATTGCTTCGAAGTATCCTTTGGCAGGGACATGGTTTAGGATACCATCACGTTCATCCGGGTTCCATTTACCTTGAGAACCTATGGTGTAGACATGGTTGAGTTGGGCCATCACATTCCGGTAGGGATAGTGGTATCGATTTCGTGGTCGATCTCTTCGACACTGCTGTCGTCGCTCTCGTCGATCACGATGAGTTCGTCGACTTGATACTGGTCGTCGTCGTCATCGTCGCTTTTGCCAGAGGGTGTATCGGCCGCATCGTAGGGTGTCTCGTCTTTGTCTGCCTCGTCTGCTTCGTCTTGGTCGGCGTCTAGATCTTAGAGTAGTGATTTCCCGGCGTATTGATCGTGTTGTTGTCTAGGCTTCATCCTCAATTCCATGACCTGAAGCTAGAAAGTGGGGAAGGTAGTCTCTGTCAGAGCCTTCGGGGTCAATATCCGGAAGATCCACGTAAAGTACTGCAAAACCGGGGAGGCGATCCTTAAAGTCAAAACTCAAGCGACGAGGTCTGATCGATTGGCGCTTAGGCTTAATTATTAGACAAATGAGAATGTTATTGAGTAGGTAAGTTATGTGGGTTGTGTTAGAGAAAGTTGTAGCTGTTATTTTGCGGACTGAGTTTAGAAAGCTCAGGATAGCAACTTAAAATACGACTCGGAATATTTGAATTCTGGTGGATGTTCTTTCCTTGCCTAGTGTATCTGTTTATCACCTGTTCGATCTGTGACATATCCTGAATAAAGCATAAGGAAACCACGACCTACTCTCGAAGGTAAACCTTTAACCTAGTATGTATGGCTGTATGTCAGGTACTGTACTGTATGCTGCAGCACGTCATACTTTTGGCAGGTGCAAGCCGTCGTGAGTTACCAAGCAACGGTAGGCATACCCAAGATGAAATGACTTAAAGGAAGGCGCTATTTTTGGAAAGTGCCTAACTCAATAGTACTCCGTGGTGTTGTGTTGTAAGACGCTGAATACATGAAAATGTACCTAACCTTAACATGCAACACATTGGATAGTCACCTCTATAGCGAAACAATTATTGAACTTTATAAGGTGGCACTACGCTGCTCTATTAACTCCTCCAAATTACAAGTAGCTACTAGAGCGATATCAATAAAAAAAAATGATGAGCTCTTTAGATAGAAACTGTCTATCTTAATTCAGTGCTAGTTGTTGATTCTGCAACATATAGCAATCCCGAGGGAAGCCTCCAATATCATAGTTACCGCTCAGCTCATACGACCATCGTAAAGAATCAAAGTCAGTTCTTTGACTATCAAAACCCATGCTTTCAAGGGCGGTATGAGAACGCTTTCTCGCACACCTGAGCCTAAATCACTTCACACATAACGCGGAACGCCAAATACAAAACCATGTGCCGCGGCCCTTCCGTTGGCTTACTGCATATCCTGTCCGCAAACCGACCATAGAATGAGTTACTAGAAATTAGGGGAATAGAAGCTGTTCGTAGTTTTAGGGAATATTGACCTGTTGGGGAAAGGAGGTGGCGGCGGCGGCGGCGGAGGTGGAGGTGGGGATGGGATATTTGGCCTTCTCCGAGGCTTATTGCGATTCTATCGCCGATACACGTCTCGGTCCCTATCCCGAACGGGCGAACGGCTGCGGCTACGTGTCTGGCTCGCACGACTACGGTCGTCGTAATCTCCTTCGCGACGGTCCCGGTCACGTCTTCTACCATCTCGATCCTCCCATCTTCGACGATCTTCTCTCGGTGGACGGTCTTCTCTAGGTGGCCTATCTTCTCTAGGCGGTCGATCACCGTCACGGTAGCGAGGTATGTAGGTGTCAACATCCGGCCGATTAGCCCCACGATTTCTCGGCGCCCTATCCCTGAATGAGTCGTGATGCTCGGCAGGGTTATCCCATCCATTTCCTGGGTACTCAGGGGGAGGGGGACGTGGCGGCAATCGATGATCCATGTGAGGTTGGTCCCGGGCCCAGGCAGGTCGACGGCCCTCTTCGCCGCCCCGATATCCGCCGTGATGTTTAGGGTATCGTCTATTACCATACCCATCACCACTACCAAATTCCGCATTGGGACCCCCAAATGCACCGACACCTACAGTGCCCCCCTTAGGGGCGGGCGGTAGAGCAGCTTTTCGATCATGGAATTTCCTACGGTCCAATTCGTGGCTGTCCTCAAAGGTGGGGAGGTCTTCTGGCTTTGCCGGGAAAGGAGAAGATTTGAAGTAGGGGTGTTCTAGCGCATCAATAGCATTGATACGACTTCGCCAGTCAAGTGTTAGGAGCTCTTTCAATAGAGAGATGGCGCTTGAACCGTGTTCGCGGAACCTCTGCGCCAATGATGCAGGTCGCGGTCGCGGATTAATAGCCTCGGCACCAGGTAATTGTTTCCATCCTGGCATAGTCTGTTCAGTCGGAGTTCCGACTAGGTCAAAGATGATGTCGAGCTGGTGCGTATCGCTCTCGCCGGCCAAGATGGGCTTGCCAACCAACATCTCACCGAAGACACAACTAAGGAAAACATCAGTATAATACGTGATAATGAAATGTCTTTGATTCTTACCCAACACCCCACATGTCAATAGCAGTGGTGTATTTTTTAAGGTGTAGCAAGAGCTCAGGAGGTCGGTACCATCGGGTGACTACAAGACTAGTGTACTCTCTCCGACCCTCACCGCCACCTTTTCCTTTTTCGGGGACTTGGCCCTCGTAATGTCTTGCAAGACCGAAGTCAGCAATCTGTAATATGCCTTTGTTACTGATGAGTAAGTTGGCGGCCTTCATATCTCGATGAAGAATCTTGCTGTCGTGTAGGTAACGGAGACCCTCGAGGAGCTGGAGGAGGTAGCATTTAATCTGCGGTACTGTAAATTGGACGGATGGGTTGTCGAGTAGGCCAGATAAATCGTGATCCATGTATGGCGTTACCATATACATGATCGGTCGTTTTCTCTTGTCGGCTTGAAGGAGTTAGTCTATGAGAAACAATTTCGTAAAGGCGAGTCAACCTACTCATCTTGCTATGATGTTCGACGGCCATATCCTCTAGGCGCAAGACATTTTTATGCGACAATAGCTTAAGAAGCTTGATCTCGCGAAGTGCTGTAATTGGAAATCCATCTTTCTCGTTGTGCATTATGATCTTCTTCAAAGCAACCAGGGCACCATTTTTTCGTGCTCTCGCCTTGTGAACTTCACTTGAGGGGAGTCAGCATGACTAGTAAAGCAGCGACAGGTTTAGAAAATACTCACCCGAAAGTACCCTCTCCTAATTTGCCCAGGAGTTCGTAGTCGCTAATCCGAGAGCAGCCCACGAAACTGTCCTTAGGTCGTTGATGCTGAATCGCAAAAGATCGAGGCGAGGGTGCCTCGCTTCCATTATTATGCGCCATGCTCGAGATTAAAGATCCGGGTGTCAACGATTGTACGATTCGCGGGTCGAGGCAGCAGTGATTCGGATTGGAGATAAATGGTTGATGGCGAAAGAACCGTTGGAATTGACCAGGTCAGGAATTCGTTTGCCACGTTAACATCGCAAACCAGTGACCAGCCAGGTCGCGAGGGATATGGCCAGATTATGAAAGGACCGATCTCATTATGTTTTTTATGAGAATATGTTTCGTAAACGAAGGTTGGTTTAGTTTACGAAGCCGCTTAGGAGGTTCCAGTTTGTTCGCGTTCTTGTACAGAAAGACGACGCCCCAAAACGCCCCAAAGTTGAGAGTCCACTTTAAAAGGTACGCATGTATTGTACATATGTACAATGTACCTTGCAGTTGAACTCGGAAGATGACGAATGCAGAATGCGTCTGTGCAGAATCCACGGTTTATGTAGCGTTTAGCGTTTAGCGTTTAGCATACTTAGGTAATCACGCATAAGATAATACCTTACTAAACCTGCTAAGCCAGCAAGCCGCGGGGAATCTTCGGTTACAAAGGCTTACCTTAACGTCTGAAGCTCTTCGAGAATCAGCTTGCGATTAGGTTATCCAGTCATTTCCTATCAACCTCACGATACCAACTTGTTGGTTCCTCTTGCCATTGCGAGCCCACACCAATCCCTATTGAAAAGGCGTACGCCCCCTTAGTAGAAGAACGCATTACCTTGGTTCCCGACACAATTAACAATCTCTAGATTCGAGACACCATGGCTGGCCCCGGTCCGATCAAGCCGCATGTCCCCGGCATCTACAGATACACTGCTACCGCCCTCGGCGCTAGCATGTGGTTCTTCGTAAGGCCTTTTTCTTACCTTACCTAGGCATTCTTGCAGGAAGAATCATGCGCGCTAACTTCCCTGATAGCTAATGTGGCGCGCGAGGAAAGACGGTGATTGATCCTAGATCCGAACAATACGGAGTTGTTACTTACACGAACCCAGGCCCCGTCCTACTAGGCTGGAAGCACCCATGGGACCACTAGACTGGTAATTCGACGAAGGTGATATAGAACCGCGCAGAGGGTAGATACAGAGAGCAGATACCATGACTATGAAGGATTGGGGATGAAGGTGCAGATACGCAATGGTCACCAGTCATCGGGAGGCCCAGGTCAATAGAAGAGAAGAATCAGGCTATCAGTCTATACAGTGTACCACATACTACGGCGTTGCTATCATGATTGTTTCGGCTTCTCGAACAGATAATGGGCTACTCCCCAGGTATCCCCACCCTCATAGGCGAATAACTCCGAACAAGCCATGTGAAAGATCTGCCACCTATTGTACCACATATTCGCGTTGTCCTCTCCGTACGTCTCTTCTAGGTGCGGCCATATATTCTTCTTGTTCGCGATCATGTTGGAAAGCCAATGCTTTGCTCAAGTCAGCGTGCTATCCGAAGCATGTAAAAGGTTGAACTATTTGATACCCCCCCTTTACGAATGAGCAGGAACGGAAATAGGATATGCTCACCTCGCATGTCTTGGAGTAATTATTTCCGTTGACCCACCATTGCTTCTCAACTTGAAGGTCTTTCTGGAAATACAGCAGTAGATCCGCCGACGGCACTATTCAAAAGCAACCAAGTCAGTAAGACCATCTTCTGGGCTATACGAGGATCAATGATAGTATCAGTCAAGCACATACTAGTCCCACCAGTAAAAAAATACGTAGTCATCCAGCCCTCCTCATAATCATACGGGGTATTCTTATGCGCGAAAATATGCACAAATAGCTTCCCCCCCGGCTTCAGCGCCCTCGCTATCTTAGCCATAAGCTGCTCATAATTCTTCATATGTTCGAAGAGCTTATAGCATTGTTAGCGCGTCCACTCTATAATAACAATGCGGTGCTAGCAATATCAAGTCAGATACCTCTATCGAGACCACCCGGTCAAAACTCTGCTTCTTGAACTCGTAGTCCACCACGTCCCCCGTAATGACCGTCAGGTTCGCCAGGTTCTTCTCCTTGGCCTTGGCGTCGATGTACTCCTTCTGCGTCCGCGAGTTCGAGAACGCCGTGATCTTGGACTTGGGGAACATCTCGGCGAAATACAGGGCGCCGGAACCCCAGCCGCATCTATTATACGATTTCGGTCAGTATGAGCATCTTTTAACACTGGCCGATGGGCTCTTTCACCCTAGATCTAGGATGCTCATGCCGTCCCGGAGCTCTGCCCTTGCGGCATATAGCTCCAGCATGGCCATCTCGGCCTGGGCGAGGGTCTCGCCGCCCTTAGGGTACAGGCTGCAGGAATACTTCATGCGGGGGCCCAGCATGCTGGCCAGGACGCCCGTACCGACTTCGTAGTGTTGCGTGTTGGCGGTGGCGGTCTCGATGGCGATGGGCCGCGTGCACAGCAGCTCAATGTACTTCATCTTACGCTCGTAGTCGGCTGCCAGAATCGACGACTTAATCTCCTCGAGCCGCTGCGCCAACTGCCGCCGGATACCAACCCGGATCACGGGATGCGGCAGGTAGCCGCGATCGAGGAGCCAGTCTATATATAGTATTACTTAAGTCATCTCGATTCTAAATAAAGGGGAAATGGGGCTAATTACCAATGTTCATCGTGTATTACCCAAAGCTTTTTTTTTTATAAGTATAGGTACATATAGATTAAAGGTGACGCTTCTCAGTTCTGGAATCTAAAGTAGGGTAATTATTTAGTATTAAGTAGTGGGAGGTTTCACCGTCTCTTACACCATTTGCATGAGCGCATGAGCGCATCTGCGCCTTTGTGAAACAGAGCGACATTATGTACCTAAACTACATGGAGGTCAAAAGTGGATCTAAGTTAGAGAAGTCTATTGATCATCACTTATTACTTATAAAACACTTATCACTTATAAAAAGCATTAAAACACGCCAGAAAACGGGGTTGCCTTATTGGTACATATACATACATATCCAAGATAGCCTATCTGATTAACCCTGCTGAAAGTTGCTGTATTATTCAAGTATCTTCTCAACCATGTATGTACGAAGTATGTATTGAAACAATGATAGTAATCACCAAAGATGACAACTGAACCTTCAATCCAATAGAGCTGAAAAAGAACAACTGCTAATAGCTTCTCCGAATGGAGCTATACCGACAGCAGAAGAGCAAATAATGGTTCCAATTATATTTATTGTTTTCTTTCCGCCCACCTACATTTAATACCCTATATCATAATCATCCCTCACTTTTCTGTTTGCGCTTAGGATCTCGCCGCCTTTCCCATATCTGCAAATACGACTCTCCGAGATACAACAGTTCCTTCTGAGTCTTCTCCACGAAGAGATCCTGGCACACCACCCATTCGTCTCGTCCTTTATCCTTAAGTTGGACCTTCCACGTCTTCCGTTCCTCTCCCGAGTCAGCTACGTCTTCTTTTGCCCTAACGGCCTCGTGCGTGACGTTTGCGACTAGATCGTACCAGATCGGCTCCCCTGGTGGATGATCCGCCGGGCTTGGTTCTACGTAGGGTGATATATCGAGGCCGACGCGTGCATCGAACGTGACGATCGTCGGGTTTCGCTCCGACACAAATTTATTCGTAGAGAAGCGTTTAATGTGAAAGGTAAGGTATAGCGGTAAAGGGTGCATAAGTCGGTATCGTTTCCTCTGCGCCAAATGCTCTTGCGCTTTCATGCCGTCATATTTGGTCAGGATAGTCGTTAAGGGAACTTGAGGGATGATGTTGCGCTCTAGCTCATCTTGGAATAAAGGCGCAGGAGGTAAGTCGAGCGTCAATAGCAAGAACCGATTGATATCTGTCTTGACTTCTGCTGCCTCCTCAAACCGCAAGCGATCACCAGCATCTGCCTTGGCTGTAATAGCTTGCGATTCGACTTTGAGTTTCCCCTGGAATATCCGCTGTATAATACTACTTCCTGGCTTTGTCTTGCTCCCGCCTAGTCCCAGGTGCAAATTGTTAAGAAACCATGACAAGAATTCAACAGGGTCGGATTGATTTGTTAAGGTGAACTTCTTGTTGGACCTCAACGAGATCTCCTGCAAAAGTTCGTGAGGTGATACGTGGTTCTTGAAGGCTCGAGGATTCCAAATCTTTCTGAATAGGATACCGCAGCGCTTCACGAGCTCTATGCGCGACGACAGGTCTTCTAGTAGGAAATAGTTTCGTAGGGGCGAAACGTGAGATAGCGCCTGGACTACGACATTGAGATAGTCATTCTCCTTGATGTTGTTCATACCCACAAAACCAGGTGTGTATTCCTTTCCATCCAATGTCCACGCGGTCCGAGCCTTGCGATCCAGCTCCATCACCTCTTGCCTCGTGTATCTCGGATCGGATACGTATTTTATATCATCCAAGGATTTGCTCTTCACTTCGTAGCCTTCTGGTAACACATAGACTTTCTGTGTTTCCATGTTGATAAATACGTGATGTCCGACCTCGAGGGAGTGGAAATATGCATGCGACTTAGGACCTCGGCCCTGGAAGTATTTCCCGCAAACTAGGCATGCATAGACGTTTATGTTGGACAGGCTGATGGAGCATAGCTTCTCGAAGTCGAAGTCGAGCACGTTGCGATCGATCGTATCTAGATAAAGGTCGTCGTACCCTTCTGTAGGTGCAGACTGTCGTATCGGCGCCTTTGAAGGTTCATATTCGTATTCATCATCTTCGCCCTCGTCAGGGATGGGGGTGTCGTCGAGTCTCTTGTCAAAAGCCAACGCGCCATTGCCATTTAATTCTGGGCCGTCATCAAATCGCGACCGTTTCGATGCAGGCGAACCAACATCAAGCTCCTCCAAAGCTTCGGAAGCCTGTCTTTTAGGCATATCGTACAAAGCCCAGTGCTGGTGGAAGGATATTGGAGAATCAATGACTGGTGGAATGCAAGGCTGAAAGATTGGGAGGTATGTAAGTCGCGGCTTTGAAGCTATCAAAGCTCTTTTTTTAATTGATACGGAATACATATACATGTACATATGTACTGTACCTAGGAACATTTAAGGCTAGGCCGGTACGTACCTACTGCACCTATATTAGCGGCACCCAAATACCCTTGAAAGACCACCACCTAAAGCCAATCACGCAATGAACGGAAGGACGACCTTAACATTCACATAAAAATTACAAGTTAGAATACAATCTTCAATTATACCTATTAGTTATCAAATACATGTAATTATATTTTTTGATATTGATAACATATAGTCTATCATGTATAGCTAATGCGTATTGTTCTCTATTTGGGGTATCATAAATCTATCATAATTCGTGTCTGCTTGTATGTGCGTCATTTCAGCACCTGCTTTAACTTAGAACTTCTTCCTCTCATCGGTGTGCCTTGGCCTCCGAAAGGCGTTCGAGGTGTAGCACCACCACTCCCTCCAATTTGGCTCCAGAGTCGTTGCGCTGCTGGCGTCAACCCACCCGTGACACGGGGACTGCTTGGGAATTTCGGAACGGGTGTCTTCTCAACTTTCCCAGTCAAGCCGATCTTGGAAGACGTCCTCTTAGACTGTGAGATACGGTCGACCATGCGGTGATGGAGGGCCTCCCGTTTGCTCTGCTCCTTGATGATGAAGGGATTTGGTGTTGAATCACCAGGACCAAGATCGATCTTCGGTGCTGCCGGTGGTTCGTATTCTGGCTCCTCGTCATCCACAAATGCATACCCGTTCACTCTCGGTGTTTCGCTTCCCACAGTAGTCGAGTCCAGCTCGCTCATTCCTCGTTTTCCTGCGATAGCATCTCGGACGGCGGAGAGTGATGGGGATGACGGTACAAATTCATCGTCGCCAACCTTCAACCCCGGCAGCCTAGTGTTCTCATAGTTGACACCCTTCGGGGCGGCTCGAGATTCGGTCTCCGCTCTTTGTACCCTAGTCTCCATAGAATCTTCTACGCTTTCGGGGATAAACATCAACGAGTTATTTGGCAGTGACTTCCACGTATCCGGCTGCGCAGGTCTCTCCTCTCGATCCTTGATAGCTAAACGGTCCCTCTTGAACCCATCGTCCGTTAAACTCCGCGATTCCACTAGCTTTGCTTCGATTTGTTTTTGTTTCAGCTGCATCTTAGAAGGTAACTTGTTTCCCGTCCACAGCCACGCATACTTTTCGGCCTTCTTTGAATTTTGCTTATCGAGGAGTTTGTAAAAGCTCTCGTTATCCTCGCTCGTATATTTGGCTTGGAAGGCTCCTAGACTCATATTCGTATCGATATCGTCCTTCTCTTTCAAACTAGACACAGTGGATTCTGAAGCTACTGATACCGGTGTATCACCTACAAAGCTTCTAGGAGTTTGCGCACCCGGAGCTAATGATGTTCCTCTTCTTGTATTGCGACGTCCCGGAGTCATGACTTGTTGAAGGCGTCGGCTTGCGCTCGAGATCCAGGCTACATCCTTAGACTCTATTGCATCTAAGTACTCCTGTTGTGTTTCACTCTCTAAGAGCCCGGGAAAGAAGTCCCGGGCGATAATTTGCGATAGCGCATCGGTGTAGCTGTCCTCGTCGATAACTTTCTTTGGTCTCTTGATCCGCTTCGGGGGTGGCGGAGGGGGCATCAACTCCAGGTCATTTCTTTTTCGGACGAGCGCTGTGGAAGCGCTCGCGCTATTTTCCATGGTCGTCCACTACTGGTCGATTACTGGGGGTGGCTTTTCGTGATGAAGATGTTGAAATAAGTAATGGAGTATGACAAAGAAACCAAACCAAGTGATGTTAACGAATCCTTTGGTATTCGCGATCAGCTGAGCTTATCGATATGCGTGTAGCCCCACACAGTGCTTTACATAGTACGTACCTATGCTTAAGTACCCGGGTGCGAAAACATACGTCACACCATAATTGAGCCTTGAAATACATAGAAGACAGTCGGTTTTAGATATATGTAATGTTCATTCATACTTATTTTATTATTTACCCGAATTTTCAATTGTTTCAAGTAACTATTGGCACAAATAATCCTACATATCCATAATTTAAAGGAGAAGTCAAGACAGATTAGATTTGAACTATCTAACACATTAACCACATTGTCCAAGCATAACTAACTTAAGTCCAGCGAAGGAAGCTTCTATGGATCTTTGGTCTAACAAGGGATGGTAAGGGCGCGGTTACATAAATGGTTAATGACTTAAGGACTAAAATGAATTAACAATAAAGGGTCAAACTAATTAGTATAAACACACCCTCATAGTATCGTTTATAGCCATTCTAGCTATATCTATCTAACTATATCTACTGTCTGTAGTAAAAATGCAGGTCACATCATTTTATTACCTCCTCTCGTTTACCATAACTTTAACCCGTTTACTATGACTCTTCCCAATTACCCAACTCAACTAAACCCCTATAGAAATAACTAGTTAGGGTCTTGGAGAGTTATTACACTTGGCACATGAATAAGGTAAAGCCACAAACATACACCTGCATACATCCACCTAGGTGTATACTTAGGCAGTTTATTAAATATGTAGTTAGAGTATTGTGCTAGGAGCCAACATCGCCAATAGGTAACTTTAAAGCCAACCCCCCCTTTTTTTTTCAACTATGTAGTTAACTAATTTCATCCTCGTAAATACTCGGCTTCAGACACTTTACTATATGAGCTCATTAACGAATATTGATGTCGCATTGACCAAAAAAGTGAGAATTAGGTATGTTACACAATTAGTATACTATGTCATTAACATGAGAGTTTAAACATGTGTCAGGGGAGAAAAAGAAACTTTACTTAACTTAACCAGGGAATGCCTAGCTGCCTGGAAACGCATCGATATTGATTGACATTCCTAGAGAAATATTTCCGGTTAGGTATTCAGCTCTACAATAACACCGTTTTACTTAACGGGGTTAAATGAAAACTACGAAGTCATAATTATTAATATTAAAGTCGTGAATATATTATAATTTCCCCTCTATGACTGCGTAAATAAATATATATAACTATTAATAAAAACAGTACGTGACGCCGAGAGTTCCTTGTTCTGTCTAAGTGGTCTTTGTAGTCAACCTTGTCCCTTGTTCTAAAGAGGTTGTGTCTTTATTTCACACTTCAAGATCCACGAGCCGGAAACCTTAACCCTAACCTTAATCTCTTCCTATTCACAATCCCCTATGACTGTATTTACGACATACGCATAAATCGAAAACATTACATAATAAGGGATGGCCGCTACATCGTTACAAATAAATTGAACTATATATTGCTTCGGTCTATGGAAAGACGTACGATATTAAACGGGGGTTTCCTAAATACAGGGTCGTAACAGTAAGAAATTCACATCACTTAATGCTTTGCCATAGTTATAGAAAATACAAGATGGACTAACACTATATTTAAGCGACCTAAAATTCTATAATTAGAGAAGTTTCTACTATCGAAGGTCTAAGAAATCTAGAACCACAGTCAAACATTCCAAAGTTCACAAATCACTCGCTCAAGCATGGCTCAGGTATATATGGATCAGCGCCTGTATTGATTTTTTGTACGGCAAAAACGTGGTACCTATGTACAGAGAAATGGCTAATGTTACATCGAAAAGTCTAAAATGCTAAAATAGTGTCGTGAAGAAGAAGAAGAATGTGAATGCACCGAGATGGAAAGATGAAGTGAAAAAGTATGCAGCCCGCTCCCTAGTCGTGATAGCCCCAAATATTGAATAGAATACAACCCCGAGAGAAAAAGTTTTGTTGTATCCAGTCATAACAACCCGTCGTTAGATTCTCTAGAGAGAAATAGAAGGAATCCGGACCGTCATTATAACACCGTGAGACCGCTCTCAAGAATGTATGTGATGATGAGAGAAAATTTACGCGCGGAAAGCGCGGCCGGAGCGCTTGCGGCCGGCGGCGGCGATGCTGAGGGTAGCTCCCTGGCCACCAGTGCAAATGGTGCCAGCAGCCATGGGCATGCTGACGGACCAGCTGCCGGCAGCGCACTGCTGGTAGCTGGAGCCCATGCAGTTGAAGGTACCCTCGGGGCTGCAAGCACCGGACTGAGCGGAGCCGGAGCCGGCAGCGGGAGCGGCAGGGGCGGCAGGAGCAGCAGGAGCGGAGGAAGCGGCGGGAGCGGCGGGAGCGGCAGGAGCTTGAGTAGGGGCAGAGGTGGCAGGCTGAGTGACGAAAGAACCGCCGTTAGAGGGATCAGCAGGAGCAGCAGGAGCAGCGGGGGCGCTGTCACCGGCAGTGCAACCACCAGTACCGCAAGTGGCAACGGAGCCAGCAACGGTGTTGTCTTCGACAGAGTCGCCGGGGTTCTCGAACTTGTAGTCACTACCTTCGATGGTGCTAGGTTTGCCCATGATGTTCAAGACAAGCATGTCAGGGAGCTTGTCGAAGTTGGCCTTGTCACCACCTGCACCGGTGAGCTCGAGAGCACCGCAGTTCATGTAAAATTCACGGTTACCGATCTTGTTGAGCCAAGTCCAGGCAATGGTAGCCTTTCCGGCAGGGATGTTGGAGGGGATGGTGTAGTCGTAGGTGTAGGGATCAGCGAAGTCAGCGCTGTCGGCAGGGAGGTTACCGGGAGTGTCACGGGCAGGGCAGCCACCCTCGATAGAGTGGATGACCTTCCAGACACTGTCCTTGGTTGGGTTCTCATCGTAGGTGATGGAGACCTGGCAAGAGCCACCACCGTGGACGGCTGAGCCCTTGAAGGCAAGCTTCTGCTGGGAGCCAAGGGCGTAGCTGTTCACTTCGCCACCGGAAGCGGTGTAGGCGCCGGTGAGCTTGCAAGGGAAGTCGCTTCCATCAGGCGCAAGGGGGGCGTTGCTGAGAGCAGTAGGGTTGAAGGGAGCGGGGCTGGTCATGACCATGTGGGCATTGACACCGGCAAAGAAACCGGCGATGGCGGCAATCTTCTTAGAGTAAGACATTTTGACTGTTTGATGAAATGATGAAATCTGGTTCCTGCAGATTTAGTGAAGTAAAAAATCGATCTGGTCGTTGACTGAAGAGTCTGAAAGTTGCTTGAACTGAATGTTTATAAGTTAGTTTTCAGATCATTGGCAGATAATAACATCAATGGCCTTGATGCCTTTGACTGGGGGATACAAAGACGTTGTTGCGAAAAGATATAGTTCTCGAATAGCTCTTTCGAGTCGAGACGAGTAGCTCGTAGTCGAACAATGCGTTTGTAGTGCCAGAGAAAGGAGAAAAGTGTGACAATTGGCTACTGACCTTGTTGGTACTTTGTTCGACTAAGGGAACAAAGGTAAAATCAGGGACGATGGTTGAGAGAGTGAGATCGATCAAGATAATTCTTCGCGAGTAAAACTCAAAGGAAGGTAATGCTCCAGGCGATTGGAAACGAAGATGTTTGAAAATGAAGGAAAGACTGAAAAGATATCAAATTGTTGCCGCTGGCGTGATGATGAGAGAGGAAACAAAACAATCGACTTGGGCGATTTGTAGAGATTCTTATACTCTCGAAGGATGGGCAAAAAGAATGGAAGGCGGCAAGTGAGTATGCACGATGATGGCGGAGGGCAAAAAAGAACGAATGCAGTAAGTCAATGAGTGAGTGAGTTGGTGGGTTGGTAAGTTGGTGAGTTGGTGTAAGATGCAGGAACAAAAAGGCAGGAGGAAAATGATTGGATCTAGGAGGAATTGAGTAGAACATGACTAACATGGGTTAACAGGTCTGCATAGCTTCTACATGGTTCATTCTCCCCTATCCACTTTCCATTATCACGCTTATTCCCTACCAGCTGATTCCCTACTGTCCTTACTACATACATACATACATAGTACCTAAGGTACCATAGGATGAGATCCACTCGAGGCGCAGAGTCAAGAGTAGATCGACAACCCCACAACTCAGGGCACCGATGGAACGTAGCCAGTAAAGCTCAGCCATACCCGTCACTGTCGTGGGTTTCGAAGCGTGGTGTTGAAGAAGGGCGAACAGGGGGGAATAGGGAGGGCTAGATGGCAGGGGATGCAAACGGGGATAAGGTCTTCGGATGCAGCGATTGGTCCCGGTAAGGACCCTAGTAACATCAACTACTGGCAGACGGCTCTTTTCAATTGTTTCGTCTTGGCTTAAACTGTGACCAAACATTGCTCTGAGTGGACAGAATAAGGGCACTTCAGAAAAATCGCGTTTATATTTTTTTTCTTTGGTTTTGGTCTTGCCGAGTTACGGTTTATTTGTTATCTTTAATTCAGATATGAGGTCATTGTTGTTCCGATTTATTGTACGTATGACTAGAAAATGTTTGGCTTTGCAAACAAACTTGAACTGTATCCCGTTTGTCCTCTCATTACTCCAGCAATGATAAGTCAGCTGCAGCCGCATACGCGCTTTGCATTGAAATACGTTGGTAACATTGTTCCGGAAGAATTAACTACCTAATTAATTCCAACAAAACTGAAGTTTTAGTTTTAGTTTTTCTACGCCGTACATAGGCAGCAAGTCAGGAATGAAAATAGAATGCAAGTAAGGAATTAGTGACGGCGCAGACCTCGACTCTCCCTCGACTCTCCATAAGTTTCAGAATATTAGAATAGGTACCTAACCTACCATTTTGCTTCAATGAGGAAGGTAAGGGTTTTCCCAAGGTCTGTTAGGCTGAATGTCGTGCAGCCAATCAAATCGCCTAGTTACTAAATCTACTTGCCCGATTCGGACAACTTGGCAGCCAATTACGGGAGCGTGGCGCAACCTAAGACCCTTGCTTTACCCTTACACTTGGGACTTGATCCTCTCTGCGTGGAACTTTTCTAGTACTTGAATACGAGGAGGCAATTCGTAATGATATTAGGAGGTAAACCGCATTATTTCATTTACGTACCTACTTACGAGCGAAAAAGCCGGTCGCGATCGTCAGGAGATATTTATGACCAGGATTCAGGGGGGAAGGCGAAAGACTTGCCCGGCTGCACATGAGCCGAAAAGATCGTTCGTGATAGGCAAGTAGAATTAGGGGAATTTTTGACGTTTAGTCGTATGTCAAGAATCTTCCAGCCTCTAGAATTCCAGCTGGGTCGCGCCGAGAGATCCAAGCACTGGCCACTCATAGCTCAGGAACAGGGGTTAGGCTGATCCCCTGGAGGCCTACAGAGAGCTTTTAAGCCTGTAATGGTTCCCTCCCCTGCGCCTAGGCTTGCACTAGGCATTTTAGCAAGAGGTTAAACCTCCGCCCCCGCCAGGCTGATTGAAAAGGTGAAACCGCACTGGTTTCAACCGGCTCTGAATTCTTTAAGGAGGGTTGCAATGTGGGACTCGAGACGCCTAATTGCCTATAGTATTCTGATGATCTTGCTTGTAGCCTATCTCGCGTGGACGATCGCATCATGCCGCTTGTAACCCTTCACGAGAGCACACACAAATAAAAAATTAAGCTTTGTTCAAGCTAACTAACTATCGGCTGCCTAAGCCAATGGTATTATTTCTATGCACACCTGGGTAACCTAACCTAGGTAGGTATGTCGTCTAAAGTGACGACCCCAAAATCAGCCCTATTAATTCGATACTAGCCACTGCAGCTGTTTTCTAAGTTCAGATTTCTTACGTGCAGCGCTAACTACGCCGCATGCTTCACGTCTCCGCTTGGTGCTGCCTACCTAATTGAAGTGTGCTCCGGTCGTATTTACCGATCCACCGGCCCAATCGACCGGAAGAAGGCGCCTCGGCTTCGAGCATAGACCAGTACATAGTTTGTAGGTAGTCATCACCGACACTCCGTCTCGACTGTCAGCTAGTAAAAAATGACTAGGCCGCCTCCTTACTGAGTGTCATCTTCAATTTGCCAATGGCTTACCGCATGTGAGCTGCAGACTGACGCCAACTCAGCATTTCTAAACAAGGTCATCCCGCCATTCCGCCCGCCTTTTTGTTTTCATTCTAACGATGCTGTTTCTGATGCGATCCTTTTTTCCATGAATGCCTTAGGTTAGGTATCTGGGGACGCAAGGCTGTGCTTCCATGGCTTGATAGATATCTCCACTCTAGAAGCATTTTACATAACAGTAGTTCATGCAATATCGAAGGGGAGAAATCAAGCATCTTAAGCTGCCTATTTGGGATCCTAGCGGATAAAAATAGAGGGAAACATTCTAACCTAGGATGTAATCTTGACGGTTTTCTTGGCATCAAAATAAGGTACGCCATATCTCATCGGATAACTGTGGAGATGAGATGCCAAGGGCATTACCGTTGGATGCTTAGGTAGGTACCTAGGCATGTAAGAATGTGGTTATTTGGCTTGTTGGTGGTGGTAATAAATACGACACAGACCAGACCTTCGAGAATTGTGTTACGTGCCGCTTGTTGTGTTCCCGTCAGCTGTTGTGCTGAAGGAACTGGTGTCAACATGTTGAAACTAGTTTCATGCTCGATATGTTGAGACGATATACTCAATACTGTGATCGGATCTCGTTAACAATTGACTGAAACAATCAAAAATGGCAGTTAGATGAATCTTCGATTCTCCTTGGTAGTTCCATGTTTATTGACGATTGGCCGCCTCAAACACAGCTATGCTATGCATGCGGCTCCTCAGCTTTGCTCAGCCGAATTTCGCTTCAAAAAGATCATATAACATTACCCGAAATGTACATTAGCGTAATATGCACCATTCTATTTTTTGATTGACGGACGCACTGGATTTAGCCACGAGAGAACCACAACCAAACCAACCTTCCTGGTGGGTCTATGCTAAGCAAGTATGAGATGCATCATCACCATGCCTATCTAACCTAGTATACTATGTATGTACTGCTGCAAATAGTTCTCCATCCTGGAATATCGATTGATTGATCCACTCTGGTGCCAACGTCTAATCGATTATTGTGTAGCTGCTAATTCTGCAAGGCTTACCTACCTTACAGGCTTACCAACAGCAAGGTCTAGGCAAAGTTGAGAGATTGAGAATCCCTACAGCTAAGTCATTTCAAGAAAAGAAAGGTCGAATTAGTAACGTTGCATATCTATTAGACGAACAATGGTCTAGCGAAAAAAGACGTTATGAAGATATTGCCGCATTAGCCCTTATGCATTCTGACGGTAATTTCAACTCGACCGCCATTCTTTGTTGTCCTCGAAATCAAGATAGGAGCTGATTGATGATGAGCTTTGCAACGCTTGGGGTCCTGTTAACCTTCAAACAGCAACCGCCTTTTCATCGTCCTTGACGTCTTGAGGAGCGAAATGGTCGCTCTCTTCGAAGCCATAATCTTCTCTTGTCCACTTTTTCATCTTCTGCGTCCGGAACTCTTCGAAGTCCCACTCGCGATCCTCTAGTTGATTAGGATGCTTGAAGACGTATACTTCGCACTCGACTTCCTCGCCCTCGACGTTGCCCTGTCCTTTATCGTCGCCGACTTTTGAAAGTAAACGGGCCTTGACCGTTTTACGATCATACTCGCTTCCTTCGAAGGCGTCGAGATGGAACATATTGGCGTCTGTTAGGCCGGTCACGTACATCCCTCTGACCTCATGATTTGGGTCCGGCGTAATTCCCGGATAGTCTGCAAATTGAACTCGACTATGGAGGTAAGTGTTAGCCATAAGCTGTGGATAGTAGGTTGATGCCGTTATATTACAAGGCAGTATAGGCGTTCGGGCGGTTTGGGGCCTTAATGTCCAACAAAATGATGTCCTGATTCTCGACTTACCGCCGGCAATAACCATGTAATATGGCTGGCTTGAAATCATGAAGGCTCTTTAAGAGCGCCACGTTTTCTGTGGAAAACCTATAACAGACCGTGAAGAAGACCTCAGCGGCCATCTGGATATTTGTAAGTAAATAGACGATTTTCAGATGCCCTTGGGGAAGGGAGTTTCACCAGCGTGCCTAGCAATTATTAATACTGGCATTCTAGTGGACAGAGGTTAGATATGAAGCTCACCATAGAAAAACGCCGCGTGCGTGCGGTCCGACATTGCTACTTAATATTTGGGCATACAAGTCGCTTTATTTTTCTTGTTGAGTATAGTATGGAGAGCACTAGCTAAGTATGGCTAACTTGGAGGAGACGAGCATAAGATCTAGGAGTACCGGTGCTGAGCATAAGTCAAAAATCAAAACTATTAAAGTGAGTAGAACCTTGGTTTTCTATAAGGACAACTCTAACACATGTACCTAATGATTCATGCGGGGGTATTGAGACCCGATATACGGTGTTTAGGACTTATCTCCAAGGAGAGATAACCGTATCTTCCTACAGATTCGAAAATTCAAATAGGCTAAAACCTTTACTAAAATCATTTACTTACTTACATGCGATCGTTATTTAAGACACATTCGGATGCATCCAATAATTTAATGTCTTAGAGGTCGAAGCAAGCTAAAGGCTACTCCAGAGTCTCAATGAAGATAAGGCAGTTCGGGACTTGGCAGCTAATAACCCGAGCTATGTACCTCATCCTTACCATTGTGTCTATCGATAAGAATAAAGGATATCTATGATTGGTCAAAGCACCTGTTATCCCTGTTAGCTCTCGAGCTGGTGCTGACGTTTGAACCAATGGCAAAGCTTCATTCTGGAGCTATCGGAAAATCAATAAGGCCTAGCGTTGTAAATGTACAATTCGGCAACCGTCGCGCCCACCTCTCAATGACCTTTCGCCTGTCTTTTCGCGCCGCTTCAACTTTTTAAGCTTTTCTCGAGCATCACTCAACTCAGCCTTGCGCGCGTCCTTTTTTCTATACAATTTTTCTAGTCGTTTCATGATACCCCCTCAATACATTCGATTCTCTCCTCGTGCAGGCGTAAAAATTACGAAACGGATTTCTTCGCGTTCTATTACGTTGCCGTGTTCCGTACACAACGTTTACTAACTAACCTTGCATCTGCGTCGCATCGAGCTATCGCGTGGCATCCCGGAAGCGCAGAGTACGAGGCGCTCCTCCCCGAATACCTTCCCGTAGATAAAGCGGTGTTCGTAATTGCCAATCCGAAAATTACTTCCTATGAATATTATATGGTAAACCCCGGGTTATACACGCGCATGCGGGGGCCGGAGCCATGTCGGGAACAGGGCTTGAGGATATCGTCAAGAGGCTGACGACCCATGAAACTGGTATGCGTCTATGCTATCATCTATGCTATCACTGATAATACTCGTCCTGCTTGATTAGCTGTTATTTATACCCATCGTGCTTGTTTGGTATAGCTAATCTTTCTGATTTTGTAGAGCCTAAATTGAAACTCGAAGCTGCTACTACGTTGCGAGACAGCTTGGATCATTACACCAATGGCCCTCACTATGCCGTATTTCTTAAGCGGATGATGCCGCTGTTCATCCTTATCCTCAGAGGACCATGCTTATTCCAAAGCACATCCCCGGAGCAGGTATGCTATACCGGCCTTTACGTAGCTAACTCTAGCTAAACTTACTATCTAGAAACTCCGGAATTGCGTCCTCGAGATCCTCCACCGACTACCCACCCACCAAACACAAACTTCGCCGGAACCCTTCGAGCCGTATGCAGAAGAGATCGTTGATATATTAATGACCTTAGTTCGGAATGATAACGAAGATAATGCCACACTATGTGTGAAAATAATATCGGATATAATGAGGCATCAGCCAAAGGTTCTCCATGGGAAGGTTCAGCCGTTTCTGGACTTAATCCAGGAACTTTTCGAGCAGATGGAGAAAGTTGTGAGGGAACAGCTTGACAGTACGGCCATTCCGTTCAATGCGTCGGGTCAGCCATCGACACCTGGTAGTACCCAAACAAACTTCCAGTCGCCGCGGCCGGGATCGCCAGTCGCCTCTGTGAATGACTTGGCTCAAGATGCCCAGCAGCAGAGTCGGCCTTTGCTAAAAGGAATGCAGTCGTTCAAGGTTCTTTCAGAGTGCCCCATCATTGTTGTATCCGTCTTCCAGACGTACAGGAACATCATCCAACAGAACGTGAAGGCCTTTGTCCCCTTAATTAAGGCTGTCCTGTGTCTCCAGGCCAAGGCCCAGGAACAGGCTCATGCTGAAGCGAGGGCGAGAGGTACTGTGTTTGCTGGGGTGAGCCCGAATATCAGAAACCGGGTGGCGTTTGGAGAGTTTATTACAGCTCAAGTAAAGACCATGAGTTTCTTAGCCTATCTACTGCGCCAATACTCTAGTCAACTGGCTGATTTCTTACCAACCTTACCCGAGATTGTCGTTCGATTGCTTAGAGACTGCCCAAGGGAAAAATCAGCCGCCCGGAAGGAGCTGCTGGTTGCGATTCGCCATATTATAAACTTCAACTTTCGGAAGATCTTCCTTCCAAAAATTGACGAGCTCCTGGAAGAGAAGACATTAATTGGCGATGGGCTCACGGTTTACGACACATTGAGACCATTAGCGTATAGCATGCTAGCCGACTTGATACACCATGTTCGCGAATCACTATCACCGGAACAGATTCGAAAGACGGTTGAGGTGTACACTAAGAATTTGCAGGACAATTTCCCTGGTACGAGTTTTCAGACCATGAGTGCCAAATTGTTGTTGAATATGGCGGAGTGCATAGCCAAGATGCAGAATAAAGTCGACGCGAGGCATTATTTGCTCATGATTCTCAATGCTATTGGTGACAAATTCGCCGCAATGAACAGACAGTACCCCAATGCTGTTAAGCTCTCCAAGCTTTACGCTCAGCAGGCTGCTGATCAGGTTCCTGATACATATCTCGCGGATAAGGAACACCATCCTGAGTGGGATGAGACAGATATCTTCACGGCAATGCCGATCAAGACGTCGAACCCTCGTGACCGTGGCACAGATCCCGTAGCAGACAACAAGTTCTTGTTCAAAAATCTTATGAACGGGCTGAAGAACACTTTTTACCAGCTGAGGACTTGTAATGCAAGCATCCAAATCGATCCCAAGAACGCACCCCAGCACTGGCAGGAAGTATCGTACGGATTTTCCGCGGAAGAGGTCAAGGTTATCATCAAACTTTTCCGCGAAGGTGCCTACGTCTTCCGCTACTACGAAATTGAGAAACCCACTGCCGAGGCTCAGTATGCTTCCCCGGTGGAGTACATGGCGAATTTCTACATGGTATCTAGTAGTAAGGAAGAGAAAGACCTTCTAGAGACATTTGCTACAGTTTTCCACTGCATTGACCCGGCTACGTTCCACGAAGTATTCCAACAGGAGATCCCTCGCCTCTACGAAATGATCTTCGAGCATACCGCCCTCCTACATATCCCCCAGTTCTTCTTAGCAAGCGAGGCTACATCGCCAAGTTTCTGTGGTATGCTTCTAAAGTTTCTGATGGAGCATATTGACGAAGTGGGTTCGGCCGACGTAAAAAGATCATCAATCCTCCTGCGACTATTCAAGCTCGCATTCATGGCGGTGACTCTTTTTGCGAATCAGAACGAGCAGGTCCTGCTTCCCCATGTTGTGGATATAGTCACGAAATCAATCGAGTTGTCTACTAAAGCCGAGGAACCCATGAACTATTTCTTACTTCTACGTTCCCTGTTCAGGAGTATCGGTGGCGGTAAGTTCGAGCACCTTTACAAACAGATATTGCCTCTCCTGGAAATGTTGCTTGACGTGCTTAATACTTTACTCATGGCTGCCCGTAAACCTACGGAGCGAGATTTGTACGTTGAGCTCTGCCTTACGGTACCGGCACGTCTTAGCAACCTGTTGCCGCACTTGAGCTTCTTGATGCGACCTTTGGTTGTTGCTCTTAGGGCCGGGACAGATCTCGTGGGCCAGGGCTTGCGCACGTTGGAACTCTGCGTCGATAACCTTACGGCGGATTATCTAGATCCTATTATGGCGCCTGTGATAGAGGATTTGATGAATGCGCTTTTCGAACATCTCAAGCCCCATCCCTACAGCCATTTCCATGCCCACACGACGATGCGCATACTTGGGAAACTAGGTGGTAGAAACCGAAAATTTATGTCAGAGGCATTCCCCGTCGAATATCAGAAGTACGCCGATGACCCTTCAAGCTTCGATCTACGTCTTATAGGATCTAAACGGGATCGTGCATTTCCGGCTGAACTTGGGATCGACGTTGCCATCCGTAAATTGATGGAAATTCCGAAACCCTCCAAGGCCAACTCGGCCAGACAATATGATGGATACTACAAGAAGCAAGCACTGCAGTTCATCAAGGCCCAATTGAAATTACGAGTTGGTATCGATCATCTTCCCGAAGACTTACCCCGATTGGTTCGTCTTCAGGCCCAAGACCTCCTCGCCCGGAAGCCGGCAGCGGATTTCGCAATATTTAACGCATCGGATCGCGAGCGCTCTGTCGCCAAAAAAGATGAGCAGGACGACATTACGAAGCGCCTTATCAAGGCTATCATGTATGCGGAATCTATTCCCGAGTTTCGGGAAGAGGCTGATATATTCCTGATGAACCTTTGCCGACATTTCACCATCATTGAAATCGGGCGAGGGCTTGCGGATATCAAAAAGGAGATGAGCCTATTCGATGTACAAGCAGGAGAGGGACCCTTATACATCGACACTAGAGTTCTTGCGGATGCTATTGTTGAGTCACTTGCGTCCGACCTACCTGATGTACGTGATACTGCTTTTCGGGCGATTCGCGCAGTGTACGACTCTACTGCGACCATTTTTGGATCTGAAATCCATGCTGGTCGACTAGCATTCTTCAGCCATCTTAGCAGGACTTTCTGTCATGCTTGCAACGAAGAAGAGTGGTACACAAAGACTGGTGGCACGCTTGGTATCAAGTATCTTCTGGTGGAGATCGATCTTGGTGACTTATGGGTCGTGTCGAAGCAAATGGATTTCATACGAGCTTTGATGTATGCGATTAAGGACATGCCGCAGGACTTACCAGAGAAGACAAGGAACTCGGCTCAAAGTACGCTCGAATCTCTATTGAGACGGATCACGACAAATGCGAAGAAGGAAGATGTGTTACCCACTCCTGCACCACCAGGCCAACCACATCCCAAGCATTCGCGATTAGCGCAGATCTGCGTTCTCTTCAACGACGAGCTATCCCACATGAACAAGCACGTTCGAGGGACTGCTAGGCGGTCACTGGAGATTATTGCCAATGCAACTAAGGTAGAAATATGGGAGCTTCTACAACCGTATAAGGACCGGTTATTGCAGCCCATCTATGCTAAGCCTCTACGGGCGTTGCCGTTTTCCACCCAAATAGGGTATATTGACGCAATTGCTTATTATATGAGCCTTAAGTCCGACTTTGTTGCCTTTGATGATAATCTAAATCGGCTACTTATGGAGTCGCTGGCTTTAGCTGATGCTACTGACGAGTCCTTAGCCGGCAAGCACGCCGAGTTCCGGACGCACGAATCTATTGTGAATCTTCGGGTTTCTTGCATCAAGCTCTTAAGCAAAGCAATGGGATTTGATGAGTTCCAGAAGGGCCAAAATAACCCGACACGCACCAAGATTGTCTCAGTGTTCTTCAAATGCCTGTATTCGGAATCTAAGCCTACTATTGAAGCGGCGAACGATTCTTTAAAGGCCGTCCTTTCTCAGACCAACAAATTGCCCAAGGATTTGCTGCAGCAAGGACTTAGGCCTGTCTTGGCTAACCTTCAAGATCCTAAACGGCTGAGCACTCATGGGCTGGACAATCTTGCAAGGCTTCTTCGGCTTCTGACTACTTATTTCAAGGTAGAAATTGGTGCAAGATTATTGGACCATATTAAGGTCCTTGCAGATCCAAACCTTTTACAGCAGATCTCGTTCACGTTCTTTGAACAGAATAATCAGATGAAGGTAGTCGCAGCTGTTTTCAACATATTCCATCTTCTACCACCTGCTGCAGAGCAGTTCAAGGAACGACTGATTGACACCTGCTTGGACCTCGAGGAGAAATTGCGCCGAACTCACCACAGTTCTTTCCGGGCGCCATTATATAAGTATCTCAATCGATACCCGGCCGAGGTGTGGAATTTATTGGTGAGCAAGTCGGAAGACTTAAAGTATGGTCGATTCTTGGCCCAAGTTCTCCTAGATCCAGAGAGCAAGCCCCTAAGAGAGCACGCCGCTGCCAACATTGATGGGTTAATATCGGCTTGTGCCCAAGTCGTCAATGCTGGCAAAGATACGAGATTCATAGCGGTCGTAAACACTATCAATGTTCTCGAATCGTTGAGCCAACATCCTAACACGCGAGGTTGGCTGGAGCGGAAGGACACGATTTTGTGGTTGAGACAAGTTGGCAAAGATTTAGAGCTCCACTTACGGACGAATAGCTTGTCGCCTAACCTACGACTTCCTGCTGACCAAGCGGCGGAGCAACTAATGGGTATCTTCACTAAGGCTCTGTCTCTGAATCCAAAAGATTTAGATGCTCTCTTTAGCCTGGTGGATTCTGTCACTTCCGAAGAGTTGCGTGCTACACCATCCTTGTTTAACTTCCTCTACAAGCATGTTATCTGTAGCGATTCTATTGACTACTGGAAGGCCGTTGTGCTCCGTTGTCTCGATATTTACGCTGGAAAAAGTTCCACACAGAAGACCAAATGCTTCCTACTTCGTAACGTCGTCAACCCGATTATTGCTATGGATGTCATGCGACATTGGCATCAGCCGAGAGCCCAGAGGTTGGTCGATCGAACAGTCATCGAGTCTATTAATGTCAAGATATGGAAAGTCAACCCTGGAGAACCCCAGGAAGATCTGGGACAACCTGGTATCGATCATACGAGAATGGAAGTCCTCCAACTCTCTGCGATGTTAGTCAAATATCATTATGCCATCCTCCAAGATGCCAGGAAGGATATTATCAAGTTTGGATGGACCTACATAAGACTAGAAGATGTTATCAACAAGCACGCTGCCTATGTTGTAATCGGCTATTTCATTGCGCATTACGAGACACCCCCAAAGATCGTCACGCAGGTATACTATTCATTACTGAGGACGAATCAGAATGAGGGACGTGCTCTAGTCACCCAGGCTCTCGAATTAATGGCTCCTGTTCTTCCCCTGCGTTGTACGGCAGTACAAAGTGATCGCGGTACTGGAGACCGCAACGCGGTCTGGGCTATGGCGCCGCGCCGCATCTTGGCCGAAGAGGGTCAAAATGTCCAGCAGATGACAAGTATATTTCACTTCCTCGTCCGGCATCCTGATCTATTCTATGAATCCCGAGACAAATTTGCCCTTCTTATTATCACGTCACTCCGAAAAGTGTCGCCTTTCGTGTCATCTTCGACGGAGAGTAAGAGACTTGCCTTAAATATGATGTGGCTAATCTGGCAATGGGAGGAGAGGAGAGTAGATGGCAAACCTAGCGATTCCGAAAGGGTTCTGTCGGAATCGCCCAATTCTAGAAAGCGGAAATTAGACAGCGACAAAATGAGTTCCTCGCCACCAGCGGTTCGACAAGTTGCTCAAGTCGATAGGGCCGAGTTTCAAATCCCTGCCGGCTACCGCCATAAGATGGTCAAGTACTTGATCGAATTTATTGCGCAGCTAAATGAGAGGTATCAGTTGCCCTCGGCGAAGCCCAGAGATGCAGCTCTAACATCCGGACCTGCTCTCCCGTCTCAGTCTACGGAGTTATGTAAGAAGGCAATGGCGCTCCTTTATAATCTGTTACAACCGCGATATTGGGCCGACCTTGACGTTGATTTATTCCCGACTATCACCGATGTTGTCCTAGCTAGCGAGAGAACCACCAAGCTCCTCGCGGCAGATCCTTCAGATAAGGAGAATTACGACGAAAAGTTCATAACCAACATCATCAATACTCTCCAGGTGGTGCGGATCATTCTCAATTTCAAGCCTGACGACTGGATACTGAGAAACATGCCGTCAATCCAAAAAGTTATTGAGAAATGTCTCAAGTCGGAAAATCCTGAGCTGCAGGATTGTCTCCATCTGGCAGATAAGAAATATGACGATGGGCGCGACGTCAAGTCTACAATTCAGCGGATCCTTGATGCTATACCAGAGGATGTACCTATGGAGGATGCGGATGCTGAAGGCGAACCCGAAGCTCCCATTTCGGAAATAATCACCTTCCTGTCTACTGTCGCGACGGAGTCTCTAGCAAGTTCCAACTATGTATCGGGCGTCAATATCCTATGGTCTCTAGGCCAACGCAAACCCTCGGTCATTGATCAGCATATCGTTTCCTTAATGAAGGCATTGCAGACGAAGCTTGCTAGGGAACACGTCCAACACTATACAAGTGTGGCTACGCACCAGCAGATGAATATGGGCGCTGCACGACCTCAAGATCCAAATGCTCAACCCGGAGAGTTATCGCCGTATGACCTCAATATCCAGACTGATTTGATGATCAAGGCGATCCAAGTAACTGCAATGCGCATGGAGATACTCGGCGATCACCGACGGCCCTTCTTGAGCGTTCTGGCGACTCTGGTTGAGAAGTCACAACATATTCCGCTTTGCGAAAAAATACTCGATATGGTAGAAGGTTGGGTCTTTCGGTCCGAAGGGACGTGGCCGACGCTTAAAGAAAAGACGGCAGTACTTCATAAAATGTTAACCTTTGAACATAGGAGCGATACGACAATGTTGGGGAAGTTCTTAGAATTGGTAATCCGTATCTACGAGGATCCGAAAATAGCACGAACGGAACTCACTGTACGGATGGAGCATGCTTTCTTAATCGGAACCCGAGCACAGGACGTCGAAATGCGCAATCGATTTCTGAATATATTTGACAAGAGCCTATCGAAAACAGCAACTACTCGGTTGTCATATGTCATAAGCTCTCAAAACTGGGATACCCTTGGCGATTCCTTCTGGCTGGCACAAGCCACTCAGCTCCTGTTAGGCGCTGTTGAGATGAATTCTAGTGTTCAACTCCACCAAGAAGATTTCCGGACACTTCCGGCGTCTCTCATCTTTGGCGTTTACTCTAAGGATACCAGAGAACCTACCGCGATGATTGATGATAAATATGACATCTTCATGGCGAATCACCGACGCTTCGTCGCCGAGCTAGGTGATGTAAAAGTCCGGGACATTATAGAACCGCTTATACAACTTCAACACATCGACAGTAACCTATCTCATAGTGTCTGGGTTACTCTATTTCCAATGTTCTGGTCTGCTACTGCTAAAGAGGAGAAGACGGATCTAGAGAAAGCTCTAGTAGTACTTCTCTCGAAAGACTTCCACTCTCGTCAAATCGACAAAAGACCAAATGTGGTGCAAACCCTATTAGCAGGCGCTGCTAAGGCGTGGCCAGAGTGCAAGATTCCACCACACATCCTTAAATTTGGAGCGAAGACTTATGATGCTTGGTACACAGCATTAGTACAACTTGAGAATGCCGCTATCAAGCCAGATGTGGACTCGTCTAAAGTACGGGAGAGCAATCTTGATGCATTGGTTGAATTGTATTCCAGCTTAAAAGAAGATGATCTTTTCTACGGCACTTGGCGTCGGCGATGTCAATTTGTCGAGACCAACGCAGCCTTGTCATACGAACAAAATGGCATGTGGGACAAGGCTCAAAAAATGTACGAAGCGGCTCAAATTAAAGCCCGAACCGGCGTCATTCCGTTCTCCCAAGGAGAGTACATGCTCTGGGAAGACCACTGGGTCCTTTGTGCGCAGAAACTGCAGCAGTGGGATATATTGCAAGATTTCGCAAAGCACGAAAATCTCCAAGATCTTCTACTCGAATGTGCTTGGCGAGGTATTGATATGTGGCAAACCCAAGAACAACGTGACAGCCTAGACATGGTCATTAAGGGTGTTATGGATGCGCCGACTGCCCGGCGAGCATTTTTCCAAAGCTTCATGTCCTTGCTAAAATTCCACAACAAACAGGAGACTGGGCAGGACTTTTCTCGCGTCTGTGATGAAGCAATACAATTATCTATCAGAAAGTGGCACCAGCTTCCGAAACGTCTGACCGCTGCTCATATTCCCTTACTTCACAATTTCCAACAGCTTGTCGAACTCCATGATGCTAGCGTCATCTGTCAGAGCCTCGCGAATACGAACCAAACGAACTTGGACGTGAAGTCCGGCGAGTTGAAGCTTCTTCTCGGATCTTGGAGAGACCGGCTACCGAATATTTGGGATGACATAACCGATTGGCAAGACTTGGTCACCTGGAGACAACACATCTTTGGGTTGATCAATAATACGTATCTTCAACTTCTTCCCCAGCAGGGCCAAGGCGCTAATGGTGCTTCCTTCGCGTACCGCGGTTATCACGAGACGGCATGGATCATCAACCGTTTCGCCCATGTTGCCCGCAAGCACAACTTGCCAGATGTGTGCATAGCCCAACTCAGTCGAATTTATACTCTCCCCAACATAGAGATTCAGGAAGCTTTCTTGAAACTGAGGGAACAGGCACGGTGCCACTACGAGAATCCTGCAGAGCTTTCAAGTGGACTGGATGTTATTAATAATACGAACCTCAATTACTTTAACAACCAACAGAAGGCCGAATTCTTCACTCTAAAGGGAATGTTCCTGGAGAAGCTCAGCCAAAAAGAGGACGCGGATGCAGCCTACGGTACGGCATTGTATTACGATATTGGCAAAGCTAAAGCTTGGGCTGAATGGGGCTACTTCAACGACCGCAAGTTTAAAGAGGACCCCAAGGATTTGAATTCTGCTAGACAAGCCCTAACTTCGTACCTACAAGCTATTGGTAGCTATAAGAGCGGTAAGGCACGGAAACTGATCGCGCGTATCCTCTGGCTCCTAAGCTTGGATGACTCGAATGGAACCATCGCTGCCGGTTTCGATGATTATAAGGGAGAAACTCCCGTTTGGTATTGGATCACATTTATACCACAGCTTCTAACTGGCATGGCCCATAAGGAGGCACCCAAAGTCCATGCGATTCTTCTGAAAATAGCCAAGGCGTACCCTCAGTCCTTGTATTTCCAATTAAGGACAAACCGCGAAGATATGCTTGCCATCAAGAAGAACCAGGAAGCCAAGGAGAAGGCACGACAACGAGCACAATCGACAGCATCTAGTGGGAAGCCGAGCACTTCGCCGTTGCTTAGCAAGCAGGAAAATCCCCAGATGAAGGCAGAATCGTCTTCTAGACCCGCAACTTCGAACGGCGAAAGCAGCCTTCAAGCGAAGCCGGAGGCCACCGATGCTAACGGGGTAGCCAACGCTACGCAAGCAGGTAACGCGGAGCAACAGTCGACTGGGAAGGATGGTGCCTCGGGTCCGGCACAGAAACGGCCGCCTTGGGAACTCACAGAGGAGATTATGTCTGTTCTGAAAACAGCGTTCCCTCTTCTTGCTCTTTCCATGGAGACCATGGTAGACCAGATCCAAAAATACTTCAAATGCCCCCCCGATGAGGATGCTTATCGCCTGATCATAGCTCTTTTGAACGATGGTCTAGCGTATGTCAGTAGAATGCCTGCTTCGTACGCCAGGGATGTGAAGCTACCATCAGGTACGGAGACCAATATCACCCGCTTCGCCGAAACGATCCTCCCGGCGCATATCAAAAAGTCCTTCGAGGCAGACTTTGTTCAAGTGAGGCCAACAATGTACGAGTATATCCACAAACTTCGCAAGTGGCGGGATAAGTTTGAAGAGAAGCTTGATCGTAGAAATCCAAGGGCGTACCTGGAGACGTATTCGCGCCACTTGAGCGAGTTCCGCTACCTGAAATTCGATGATGTCGAGGTACCCGGGCAGTACTTACAGCACAAGGATAAAAACCAGGATTTCATTCGTATAGATCGCTTCCTTCCCAACGTGGAACTTGTTCGGGGCATTGGTGGCTCCCATCGGCGCTTGAAGATTCGTGGTCACGACGGTAGCATTCACTCGTTTGCGGTACAACATCCTGCGGCGCGACATTGCCGACGAGAGGAGAGGATTCTCCAACTATTCCGACACTTAAACCAGACACTCGCCAAGAAGAAGGAAAGTCGCCGTCGAGACTTACAGTTTACAGTGCCCTTGGTGGTCCCTCTTGCTCCTCATATCAGGATTGTGCAAGATGACCCATCTTACATCACGCTCCAGGGCATTTATGAAGATCATTGTCGGCGCAATAGTATGCCCAAGGATGAGCCCGTCATGTTTACCATGGAAAGACTGAGAGGTTTGATTGAGCCTAAGGGATCTGTAAGTTTTTCTCGTCAAATTCAAGTATCGAAAGTCGCTAACAATACGATTCAGAAACCTCCCGAGCAAACTGCCACGGCACGTCTTGAAGTATTCACGGCCATTCAGGAGAAATGGGTACCTCGTACTGCCGTGCTGGAATACTTCCAGAGCATCTTTCCCGAGTTCTCCGAATTCTGGCTTTTCCGACGCCGATTCTCGTACCAACTCTCGGCACTCACATTCATGACATATATCCTTTACAGTACTAATAGGTATCCTCACAAGATGCACATAGCCCGCGGCTCTGGAAAGATCTGGGGCTCCGAGGTAATGTCGTTCATGGCACCCGGAAAGCCCTTCTTCCACAATCCAGAACCCGTACCTTTCCGTCTCACTCCCAACCTGCAGACCCTGATGGGCCCTCTAGCCACCGAGGGTATTTTCAGCTGCTCGATTATGGCTATCGCGCGCTGCCTAACCGAACCTGAATTTGAACTAGAGCACGCGCTTACGCTCTTTGTTCGGGATGAGGTGATATTCTGGTTCACTAGCAGTCACCGGACCGTCCATCTCAACGAAAACCAACTGCGCGAAACAGTCCAGACCAACTGCGATATGATCGTTAAGCGCGCCGTTAGCCTCGCCCAGAGCCCAGTTGGCAACTTACCGGCAAACCAGACGGTCATCGATCTCATCGCCCGGGCCGTCAACCCTATGAATCTGGCCCAGTGCGACGCTCTCTGGATGCCCTACCTTTAATATACTTCGTTGTATATGTTGTCGTCCCAGAATAGGGGATCTGGTACTGTTTTCTATCATTTCTTTTCTGTTTTGCACTAAGGGATCATGGAATTGCGAGGCTATTTTGCAGCAAGGCGTTAAGGGACCGGGTCCGAGACAGCATCACGGGCTAGGCTGGGGGGTTACGGCACGGACTTACTTGGTATCAGGTTAGACGGTCGACATTAGGGATCAAAGGCAAAATTATCACTCATATTTAGGGTTATGCGCTTAGTTCAACTTGAATTATAATGCGTTAGTTTTATGATACTTGTTTATTGTGATTAATCCGCTTTACTTTATGATATATATATATATATATATGCTAGACATAGTTTAGGCACACTTGGAACTACGTAGGACTGTTCTTTCTAGGATTTGTCTTTCTCATGCTAGTTTATTAAGTATCATCCATTAATTAATTCTTGTGAGAATTCCATGTTAGATATACAATAAGCCAAGGGGGAAACTTTGAAATAATACATGGTTCAGCCACCGAAGCAAATCCCCTGATCCTATGTACAGCAAACCTCCCGCAAAGACCTGACCTCGGAGCCTTATCTTATTTCAAAAAGTACGGATGGCAGCAACCGTGACAACGCCTCCCCGTTCATCATGCCATCGACGTAGCACTCGCCGATAAGCTGGTAGAAGATTTTAGGGTCGCTCTTCAGGGGCTTCTGCACCGCGTGTATGTTCGGACTTGGTGCCTTGCTCTGTCCCTTCGACTCTTCTTTGCTAGCGGCCGCGGAAACTGAGTTGCTACTGCTAGCGCATGTTGTGGAAGCACTTGGGTGAGGAGTTGTTCCAGCTGCTGGTCCTTTATTTAGAATACGACTGTTGCTTCTGGCTGGGTCTGAAGAGGCAGCCTTACGAGCAACTGCCAGCTCGCTCCCATTTGAGACCGAGCCGTTCTGTTTTGCCAGCTTAATCCCAGCTGTTTGGGATATTCCCTTGCTGCGATGCATCTTTTACCGTTTTTCACCGTATCCAGGACGAAACCCTCCACGAACATGCTATGGTAGTGTATTTTCCCCTTCTCCCTGTGGTCATTTTGTATTTGTATTCAGCCGCCAACGAGTGCCTCGCTCCTCATCATCTGAGTCGTCGTCGTCGTCGTCGGAGCCAGTTGAGGATTCTGGAATCGGGGCCCACGATCGGCAAATGATATCAAGAGCATACGTCTTATTAGACCTCTCAATAGCCCATTTGACAAATTGGATGTAAACATCCGATAATGGTAAACTGTAGTCCACGTAATATGGGCTAAGAAACGGTCCTTTTCGATAGTTGCTCGATAAGTTTCTTCTTTATATTTTCGCCCCAATTCCACTTTTGAATCGCCTCCTTTTCTAGACGTGTCGTTACAGGGACCGTATCCCTCGCGATGGCAAGGAGGGCGTATATAGTATCACGAGGCTCTGTCGAATCAAACGTCGTCAGCTTTGCTACGAGATAATCGAGGTTGAATTGTGCTTGTCGTTCATTCCCCGAGAGCCTCCGAAAGAGGTTATTCGTCTCTTCTACCGGTTTCGTGGCACTTAACTCAGACACGTCACCGAAGAAGTCCGGCATATGTCCAAGGTCCCTGTCATGCCTCATGACTTCAGATACTTTACGCGTGCCTTTTTCGACTTCGTTGAAAAGAGAGATGGCATCTGCCAAATCCTTCCACTCTTCGAACGTGCGATCATCCCTAATCAAGCGATCGAAGTCCTTCAGGTTTAGGACTCGGTCTTGAATAAACTTGATGGCTAGTTCGCTGTTTTCATCCTCGTTGCCCAGCCACACGAAGACACATTCTGCCTGTCCATAGATGCTGGCCATCATCGGGACCTGATAGTTTTTTTTTTCATCTATGTTTCCCTGATCCATGCAGATGTAGTCAATCCAAACTCCAAGTCTTCGATGAGATCGGAGTATTCGTATGGAAGACTCTAGATTTTCTGGGACTGGAAATGTATATGACTTATTCGACTGTTTATTTAACTGAGTTATACGTTGTCTAAAAAGGAGGTCAAGGGATTAACAAAAGAACTGATAACTGACCTGGATGATTCGAATTTCTGCATCGTTGAGCTTACCAGACTCGCCCCAGCACCAAGACAAGGTGTTATAGTGCTCACCGGTCCGAAGCTTCATCAACCTAGCCTCGATTGTTTTGCTATCGTTGTTGATTATTTCTAGAACTCGAAGCTCTCTAGATGGGTCATCTAGTGGGCAGAGCTTTGCGTATGAGTATCTTTCGCGACCCATTGTCAAGGACATTGAGATTGTTACGGGGGGGTGAGTTAATCTGAAGAGAAGGTGAAATTTTTTTTATCTTGGCAGGATCAAAAGACATGGTGTTTAATTAGCATATGTGAGTTCGGCCGCCGTGATGGTTACCTCGTTAGGTACTCGGCCAATCACCAATAACATAACACAGAGGCTAGAGGCTACTCAGTTAAGTTTGATAAGATGAATATTTCTCTATCTACCGGATGGTGGCTGATCTACAGTTATGCTACATGCAAGCCATATGCCTAGGTTAGGACCAGCATTCGACAAGGTTCCCAGAATCTGATCAGCTTATACCTGGATAGGCTTTTGATTTGTCCTCGAGATCCCAATGAGCGGGAAAACAGTCCACCAGTAAAAACTTGGCAAGTGAGATCCAAGCTCTGGTCAAGTTTTGATATGAATACATAGCTACCTAGTACCTACAACTCTAAATATTAAAGATGCCAACCTGAAATATGGGCCTCGTATAGAAAATACTTAAGGATATACAGATTGGGATACAGTGTGAGAACTGGGTGGGAAGAGGTTGAGATAGAAACAGTATATGAGAATAGAGACCTCCAGGCTTTATACCTGCTTCTATCGAAGCTACAATAATGGTGTACGTATTTTCCTAAGGGGCGTGTTTATCTCTATGCTGGTACCGAGACTTTTCGTCACGTGACCCAATATCTCGTCACCAATTATCCCTCGGAAATGTCAAACTACACAGTACTAATACCGTGGAATAAAAAGAAAAGCAACCATAGAAGAGGAATTGTACTTGAAATAAAATTTCGGGTATAATCTGATGACTAACCTTCGGCATAGCCACTTATAAAAGCAAAGGTTCAAATAACTAGGTTAACTAACTTAGGTTACGTAGGTAGCTAATAAATCATGAAGACCACGACGTTTAGATACCCATGTAGAGTTGCTATGTGGTATTATCTTCTCCGTGCAACAATGTTTTGTCAGGGTATCATTGCAGCTCAGACGGGGAATCGGAGCGGGTTCGCTTCATATATAGGTGTCTATAGGACCGTTCTATCTCCGTCCCTATAGCGAAGTTCACCAACCTCCAATAATACGATTCTCCCTGGGTAGTACAACTATCTCCGATGATATTGGCGGGTCCGAAAGACTGGCGAAAAGCAAGATGGACCTCAAGGAGAAAGCTCTAGTGCGGAAGCTGGATTGCTATATCATGGTAGGTAACTTTTTGCGTGGTCTTGTAAGCAGCATGGAGAGGCTCACAGTTAGACAGCCGACTATATGCGTCATGTACTTCCTGAACTACGTTGACCGCAACGCCATCGCGCAAGCCCGTCTGAACCACTTTGAACATGATCTCGGTATGTCGGGTAACGAGTTCAACACGGCAGTCAGCATGTAAGTCCACTTGCATTGCATTCTAGTTAACAAGAAAACTGCTAGCTGATATCTACGCCGCAGTCTCTTCGTCGGATACGTGCTCATGCAGGTCCCGAGTAACATGCTGATTACGCGGATCAAGCCCGGGCTCTACATGTCCGGGTGGATGTTCCTCTGGGCGGTAGTATCCGCCTCTACGGCTGCCGTGAAGAGTTATGGCGGGCTCGTGGCCTGCAGGTTCTTTCTCGGGATTGCGGAGGCTCCAGTAAGGGGTCTTATTAAATATCGTCTCTGGCGCAATGTGGTTAACACGGCTAGTTCTACCCCGGTGCTACGTACATCTTGGCGATCTACTATACGCATGGTGGTTAGTTACTCTCAGGTAATCACCACTATGTATACCAAATCTCATGTTAACCGTTTCTTCCTTAGAGATTGCCATGCGGGTCGGCCTCATGTACTGTGGCCAGCTTCTCGCCACCGGGTTTACCGGCTTGATCTCGGCCGGTGTCTTCGCGGGGATGGACGGGTTGCGAGACCTTACCGGCTGGCAATGGCTTTTTGTCATCGAAGGCTCCTTCACTGCTCTAGTTGCGGTTCTAGGGTTCTGGCTTCTCCCAAATACGCCGGACGACACCTCTTGGCTGAACGACGAGGAGCGCAAGTTGATACGGGCACGCATAGAGCGCGACAAGATCAGCGATGCTCTGAGCAAATCTAGTACCTGGGAGGGCCTTAAGGAGGCTTTTAAGGATAAGAGAACCTGGCTCTTCTGTTTTATGCAGATGTTCCATCTGTCGGCCTGTTCTTTCAATGCATTCTTCCCGACGTAAGTCTCTTGCCCCCTTTTATTACCGACCTTAGAGCCACTTTGAGATTCTACTTGTTACAATAATACTCACACTACCCCGAATAACAGTGTCGCAAAAACGCTCGGTTACAACAACACCGTAACTCTCTTATTAACGTGCCCGCCTTTCATCCTCGCGGGAGCTGGCAGCGTCTTGGTTGGTTGGAGCTCTGGGAGACTAAACGAGCGAGCATGGCACATAACAGTAACATTATCTATTGCGATCACCGGGTTCGTCATAGCCGCCAGCACACTCAATACGGCTGCACGTTACGTTGCTTGCTTCATCTTCCCCGTCGGCGCGTTTTCCGCTAACTCGGTTGTCGTCGGCTGGGCATCGTCGACTTTGAGCCAGACAGAAGAGAAAAGAGCTGTAAGTGTTAATGGTTTCAATACTACCTACCTACCTATGCTCATGATTACTAGCAAGGGAATAAACTAAATAATGTTATAGGTTGTTCTTGCGATAACCAATGTCTTCGGTCATATCGGCTATATCTACGGCGCATACCTGTGGCCCGATACCGACGAACCGCGGTACGGCATCGGGTTCGGCGCCTCGGCGGGCTTCGCTCTCCTGTCAATATGCTGCGCTTGGGTTGTCCGGACGTTACTCATACAAGAAAACAGGAAAATATTGGCGTTGAATTCAGAGCATGTTAACCTGTATAGCTACTGATCGGATGGACATGAGAGTACCCAGTAGTAAATAATATGATATAGAATTCAATCTTTAATTGAAAATGTCGCAACTCATGAATAATAAATAACAAGGCCATCCTAATTAAACAACAAGTCTCTAGGTTAAACTATTCAGCTGTTTACTTAGGCCTGCTTGAATTATCTTGTGTCAAAAATGAATAGGTAGATAACAAGTATGAGAAGAGGAAAAAAGGGTTAGGGCTGATACATCTCACCTTATGCACACCTAGGTAACCCCCGTCTCGGTATGACGCAACTCCGGAAGAAGCCGATAAGCCCTCCGATATCGACACTGAGCAGCTATCGATAACTTCCGAGTAGCTCTCAACCTAACCTAGGTAGCCACTTACAACCCGCCAAAATTCTCCCCAAGACGAGAAGAACGCAACCACGAAGGCGTTTCGAGCTCAATTGACGTAACGAAGCTGGCTACGATACCCAGGCATAACCCTTACGCCAGCAAACCAACCCAGAGTCGAAGATGGCAACCCGGCGCATAATCTCACCGCGCTCGCCGCTCGGCCTATCCTTCCGAGCTATAATATCGCGGCCGTACTCCTCGAGCAGCGCCGCGCACCATACGGTCCCGTTGGCGTTCGATCACCACGAGCCGCCGAAGGGCGGCCACGATCATAAAGATTCGCCGATAATATTCATGCATGGCTTGTTTGGGTCCAAGAAGAATAACAGGAGCGTGAGCAGGTGAGTTGGTTCGGCCTTTCTCCCGGGAGCATGCGCGGAATTCTATTTCTAGGTATAGATCGTAGAGATAGGTAGATAGATACCTATATAGCTAATTTTATTTTAAATACTAGAGTCCTCGCTCGCGATCTCAAGCGCCATGTCTACACGGTAGTAAGTCCACCACCAACCTCTGCCAGTAGCCTCTCTATGTATCTCCATCTGACCCTCGGCCCTCACTACACACAGGACCTGCGCAACCACGGCGAAACCCCCCACGCGCCGCGCCACGACTACCTCGCCATGGCCGACGACGTAGCGGGCTTCATCGCCGACCACGGCCTACGGGATCCAACGCTAATCGGGCATTCCATGTGAGCAGCCCGTTCATCCCACCCCACCCCGCCTCTTCCTCCCCTGTCCCCCTGTCCCCCAAAGAGATAAAATCCTCACAAAACCCAGGGGCGCCAAAACCGCCATGACGCTAAGTCTCAAAGAGCCCTCCCTAATCCGAGACATCGTCTCGGTCGACAACGCGCCGGTCGACGCCATCCTCGGCACCTCCTTCGCGCACTACATCCGGGGGATGCGCCGCATCGAAGAAGCCGGCGTAACGCGACAGGCCGAGGCCGATAAGATCCTGCAGGAATACGAGCCGGACGTGGCGATCCGGCAGTTTCTGCTGGGGAACCTGTCCCGCCCGCCGGCGGAAGACGGCACGGTGTCCCCGACGCACAAGTTCCGCGTGCCGCTTGATGTGATAGCCCGTTCGTTGGGACACCTTGGGGATTTCCCGTATAAGGACCCCGGGGAGAGGCGCTTCGAGAAGCCGGCGCTGTTTGTGCGCGGGTCGCGTAGTACATACGTGCCTGATGAAGTTGTCCCGCTTATTGGGCAGTTTTTCCCGCGGTTTACGCTCGTTGATATCGACGCCGGTCACTGGGTTATTTCCGAGAAGCCGGAGGAGTTTCTTCGAGGTGAGTCGAGAACCTTTCGTATTTTGTCTTCCGAGCTATATGCTAATAAGAATTCTACTTGCAGCGGTCATAGAATTTCTCACGCCGAAGGAGTGAAGGAGTGAGCGAATGAATGGGAATGAGAACGAGAATGAGCTTTGCATATATTATATCTGCTTGTATAAACGTGTATCATTGCATCGAGGGGATATCATATAGACAGAGACACAGAGAGAAAGAGAACTATGTACATAACCACCGCATCCCAGGCGTTTATCGGCGTGCGCGAAGATAGACAAATTTCAGGTTTCATTACCTAGCAGGGGCAAGCCGAAGAGTAATTTGACCCGAGACCACCGAGGTTCAGACCTGTGTTACTAGACGCGGGCGCCGCGGTGGCGAACAGTTCGGGTCGCTGGACGATGCGGTCTACGACCTCGACGAACGGCTGCCGGACGTTTTCCCGCGTCTTAGAGCTGACCTCGCAAAACCCGGCGCCCTGCGATTCCGCAAACGCCTTACCCTCCTCGAAGGAGACGACACGGCCGCCTGTCGCATCTTTGTCTAGTTTACTTCCGACCTAATAATATAATTAGTCGTAATGCCACATACATATGCCATAAAATTTGCACGTGGGGGTGGTGATACCAAGTAAAGCACGGCATCGGGAGATGCGCTAGATCTCGCCTCGTCGATCCACTTCTCCATGCTGAGGAAGCTCTTCCTGCTCGTGATGTCGTAGACTATGATGACACCGTGGGCGCCGCGGTAGTAACTAGTCGACAAGGTGCGGAATCTTTCTTGGCCGGCCTTTGGGTATTGTTAGATATGCTGCATAATGGGGTGGTTACAGTTAAAGTGAAGAAAGACGGGGTCCGTGTTAAGAACTTACAGTATCGAATATGTTCAATCTATATGCCTTGCCTCGGACGGCGAGCTTCTTCATCTAATGCACATAGATTAAGGGTTAGCCAAAGCCCGTGGTCATGCGAATAAACCCAGCTCGGCATCTCTGGCTTTACCTTGAAATCGATACCAATAGTCGCCGTCGTCGATTCCGGATCAAACTGGTCATCGCAATCTATAAAAGTCTTAGAATCGCAAAACCAACACCATCGACTCAAATGGTTCCATAGAGCTGCCTGAAGCGACATAACTGGGTTGGGGGGGTAACTCGTACATCTTAGCAGCACTGCTCATTCCGCAACGGCAATTCATCTCGTTAGCCTCATGTTCTAGAAACTGTCATGTTGGTATCCGCCGCGGGCAATTACAGGCGGATCCGGGGATTCGGGTATGGATGTAGGCAGGGAGGTATTTGGATTAGGTAATTCCAGGTTAGTTGTATGCATAGGTATGTAGGTACATACGTGCAGACTTGCCGGCGCCGGAAGGCCCGATGATCAGGACCTTGAGCACCGGTAGCGAATCCTCCGACATGTTTCTAGGTATCTTCGAGCGGTCGGCCGATCTTTTGTCTTTGGAGCGAGGTTAAGAAGCTAGGCGGAATATGATATGCGCAAGTAGCAAGAGACGAGCAAAAGGAATTCCGGTAGTCTCGGATGAGATGAAGCTTCGTAGGTATGAGATTCGTATTGTAAATTATAGGTTTGGGATGATAATGATAATGATGATGATAAAGTTCCAAGGTTACATACCGACCGCTCCTTGGCTAAGATACCTAGGTACCTACATGTACTTACATATGTACATTCACACGTGTAAGTTCCAATGCGCTGGTGGTACCGGCGTACCGCACTACACTGGGCTCCGGCTTGATTTGGTCATGCGGGCGATAAGGTACATGCTGTTTTAAGTGGCAGCTTACCTATGCTTTGCGGCTGGATTAAGCCTAACAAACCCAAATACCTCAATCCCAATATCCTCCCCTCCTCTTCTTCATCCGCTTTGTCCGTACCTTGTCTGGTTTACCAGATATTCCCCGTTTACCCACCAAAGGTAGCAGCGCACTAACTAGTATGTTCTATCTGCCAAACATATCCCACTCCCACTCCCACTCCCACTCCCACTCCCAATCCCGCTCCCGCTCCCGCTAATCATAAATGACATGTTAGTATTATTGCAATTCATGGCCTAGATACCGAGTCGTCGCGAACATGGACTTACCAAAATGGGGGCCGGTCTGTAAACTGGCTGGAGGATAGCGATATGCTACCCGCTGCCGTCCCAGACGCCAGGATTTACACATACGATTGGAACGCAAAAGTCTTCGACAATGCTCCCGTCCAAACATTATTGGGTCATGCCGATAACCTCCTTTCTCTTGTAGCAGCAGAGCATGGCACCTCAGGTCGACCCATACTCTTCATCGCGTCTTGTTTTGGAGGTCTTGTTCTAGCCGAGGTAAGCTATGTTGAGAATATGTAAAAACAGACCTGGTCATCGTAGGCCATTTGTCGGGCAGCCCAGGAAGGTAATGAATACCGTCAAATGCTCCGGTCTACAATCGGCATCGTCTTCTTAGCGACTCCATTTTCCGGGACAAATGCAGCCGATTCTACATCGTGGCTCGTGATTGTTAAGGGGATCATGGGCAAGAACCTGTCAGATCAATTAATCAAGGATCTGGAAAAGCGTCATGAATTTATTTCCGATCGGATCGTAGCGTTTACCAAGAAACATGATCTGACGTCTGTAGCTCGTTACCCAGTGGCAAGCCTGGATCTGGGAAAACTACATTGGTGAAATATCTCATAGATAACCCTCTCACGAAGGAAGCACTAATCATTTGGTCTAAGGGAGCTAATGATCCTATGATATTGTCTCACTTCTTCTGGAAAGCCGGATCTGAAAAATTACAGAGGAATATCAAGGGATGCATATGTTCCATCCTTCACCAAGCCGTTCGACCTGAGACAATTCCTTTAAGCTCAATACTGACCACCTACAAATTTGTGTCAACCAAGCAATCGGTCACTGATTGGTTACTTGAAGAGCTTAAGGATGTATGCTTCGCAGTCTTACTTAACTATCCATCTTTAATTTGCATATTCCTCGATGGTCTTGATGAAATATGCCTCGAAGATCGCTCTTCTCTCATGGAACTCATAGAAACCCTCATGGCATTTCCAAATATCAACGGGATTCGGACTGGATATTGTTTGTTTGCTTGTTGGCAAGGCGGAAGGCGTCTTTCTCTGGCTTCGTTTAGCATCCGATAGCTTGGTTCGTGGACTAAAGAATAACGATTCAGAGAAGATACTATACCAAAGACTTAAAGAATTGCCCAATGACCTGTACAGGCTCTATACTGACATGTGGATCCGAATGAACGAAGATATAAAACTATACCGGGAATCTACTGCCAGGTATTTCAATTTGGCCATCGCTCTCCAAAGAAAGGATAAATACTATACGCCTCGGCTACTTCGCCTAATGGCTGTAATGAATGATCGAGTCCAATATATCTTTGTCAACGAGAGAAATACCATGGATGCAACTTCTTTGAAACAAGAGTGCGATAAAACTATCTACGAAGTTCAACACCGATGTATTGGCCTTTTAGAGATAGTTTCTACTAGACACGAGATAGAGGTTATAATGCAGGATCCTACCTATAAGCCCTTGGACCCTCACTGGCAAATGGAGGTGCAATTCCTCCACCGGACAGCCTATGATTTCCTCACGGATACTGAAGAAGGTCGTCAAATCCTCGCGCACGATTCGTCCTCTCAGCATATGTCTATCGTTTCGAATAATAAAGGGCGATTTAGTCATGAGGAAACCTAAATGCTAAGGGGATTTGTTTTCGACACCTATATCGCTATGCAAAAATGGAGTTTTATAGCCCCGCTGCCCTGTACATAGGCTGGCTCTTTCGAGGAGAACATAGCACTGGTAGCCAATATCCAGGGCAGTGTAGGTTTGAGAGGTTATCAATTCTCGGGCGATATGGCAACCGGGCGGCTTCTCGATTTCCTAATACAGTTCCTGTACGGCGATGAGTCCTCAGACTTGGCTCATAAAGCGAACCAGGAGTTATGTGGTGGTTTTGAGTTCAGATACCATTCAGGTGGGTATGGAAGGGTGGATGGCACGATAGAGGAGGTGCTAGCAGAAATGAATTTGTGCTTTCGCTTTGTTGACGAAGAAACCGGAGCTCCTATATCGAAGGATGTTTATGAACGTGCCAAACAAAAAAGGGAAGAGAGAGAGAAAGAGAAAAAGAAACAAATAATCTGAATAGCTTGTTTGAACAGTATCACAATACCGAAGACTACTTTCCTTCTAACGACCGAGATTCAGCAAATGTACAGCCTGATTAATAATCATATGTATTTTCTTTGAAGTAAACCTGGGGAACAGCCCCTTATATAAGGGGTAACTTTTCCTCAACATCTCATCTTCGTATTGAAAATCACCACTTACAACAACCTGACCAAATTGATACCTCTAAAAAGGCTTATAAGAGTTTTCTTAAAATAAATTCAACAATGAGATAATTTCGTTGAACTAAGTGCTTTTATATACGTTATTGGTAGTACACTGGTACCGTCTATGTAAACGTGATCTAGAAGCTCCGTTACAATATCTTCAAAAGCGACTTTTGGTTTGACGTCGGCATTGCCATATTGCCTAGTGGATCTATTACAGACGTAGATTTCCTTGTATATAAATATGATGAGCGGCTTGGTAGGCCTATGAGACATACCACGTATACAGAATATGATATTTTCAATCCATGAATAAGGGGGCTATACAATAGAACCGTGACCCGTCGAAAAAAACACCAGAAACTGTTATGGACCTACAATCCTATGACGCAAGGAGATCGTTGCATAAAAATTCTCGTGATAGTATTGGTATCGCACTTATGCACCGTTAACTAATGGCCTCCTAGGCCATTGGGACACTGGATGGGTAGACTGTCTCTACCAGAACATAGGAAGCCAAATGCTCGTATTCACATAAAATAGCATCACGTATGGAACCATCCAGTTGTCAGCTAACCTTTCTCATTTTATCTGTCCTGAGGGGCCTGCTGTAACCGCGGCTGTCCTGCCGCGCCGAATGCAATCAGAAGTGAGACCTATTGCCATTGCACAAAAACCCACGCCGTTCCATGACCATTCAGAGTTTATCAAGATTAGACCTCCTCAAGGACCCGCTCCTTAAACTCCCGCTCAACCTTCTGACCCTCTTCGTTCGTCGTGGACTCTCCGTGCAGGTTCATCAGGGCACCAAGGTCGAACTTGGGCGACTTGAGGAGCTTGACCTTGCGGATGTGGACCTAGATAGCAGACTATTAGTATATACTGTCGCACGTTCCAAACTACAAGCATTAGGGCTTGCGTGGGGCTAAGCACGTACGTTCTGGAGGGGGTAGATTCCTTGCGTGGCCTTTTCAATCTCACGGCCGATGACCTCGGGGATTAACTTGGAGGTCAGTTGTTGCAGAGTGCAGGTGGCAGCCTCTCGCTGGATGATCTCGACCATCTTCTTTCGGATGGCACGGATCTGAGATGAAGCGGCGTAGGTGGTCTTCTTGATCTGGTTGGGCCGTCGCTTGGTGAAGGCAATGGCGAAGAGACGGAGGAGGTAGTCATCGGTAGTCTTGACCGTGACGTTGGCCTCGATCAGACTTTGCCACTTTCGTACGAGGGATCGTAGCTTGTCGGAGGTGAAGTCAAGACCGTGGAAATTGGTCAGGCAGTTCTTGCCCTGAACTTCATCGACGCGTAGCTTGACCTTTCGGAATGCGTGGTCCTCATCCTTCTGAAGATCGGCTAGGGAAACCTCGAAGATTCGGCCCTTGAGGGCATCGTTCGCGTTCTTAAGACCGGTGGTTCGGTTTACGAGGGTCTTACCAACACTACACATCACGGTTAGATATTAACCAGCCTGGGCGCATTGGAATGGAAATTTCGTACTCTCGGATGTTGAAGGGAGCAGGGGCCTAGAGGGAAATTGCAGTCAGTTTAAAAGAGTCCGTATAAAATCCATCATTGGATAGCGATCGCCTACCTTGATGGAGTACCAATCCTTTCGTGCGAAAGGGTCCTGGGCCTTCTTCTTCAGGCCCTTCTTGCCCTTGGACAATCTCTTGTTCCTATAGCGAGCGAATGATTAGCACTGGATTTCCTCGTCTCGGGGGGGGGGCGGGGAGTTGCAGGGCGCCGGAATGCAGAGGCGCAGGATCGCGGAGGTTGAAATGGTTAATGGAAATGTGATGTACTCACTTTCCAACCGCCATGTTTGCGAGAAGTCAATGTGGCTCGCAATTCAGGACGATGTTGAAGATGTGTTGGAAGAGACTTTTTGGTGTTGCGTGGTGGATGGATCTGGCAGTGAATTCTAGTGCAGCCAAAATTTCTTGTTTGTGCGCGAAAATTGAGGGAGTGTGGCATGGTCACGTGGATTTTATCTATGATAAGCAAATGCTTTCCAGGTCCATCTCTACTAGCGAAAAGGTACGTACCGTTATTAGGGTCTGTTCCCTCAAGCCATGCACCTCTAACTTCATATATATTTTTGACGCGCATATTAGTGGGAGGCTATGCATTTACCATGGCGTATTGAAGAATTAGGTATTCTCTACAAGCATCAATTTATGAGACCTTTAGGTTTTATTACCTACATAGGTAGTACAACACGGTTAATACATACATGTACTTAGAATGTGCTCTACCTCTTAAATAATAAATTCAAACTAATACTCTATACTATTTTCAAACATTTCATTATCTTGAGTGCGCCGTAGCTAAGCATCTATTAGCTACCTACACAGCATCGCCAACCACCCCCGCCACATTCGCAGCATCGTTGAGCGAATTCTAAACCGTTGTTCAAATTTTAAAAGTGTTGTTTATTCTTATAGTTATTTTAGATATTAAGATATAACAAGGCGAGCTAGAACCCAGCCCAAGGGGCAAATCTAACTTTTATCTCTCTTGTACTATCCCATCCTGTCCTGTCCTGTCGCTGTTTCGAACGGGGGTATCCCATTTTACTCCTCACAACCCAGTAGATCTCGCAATCCATTAAGTTTCTTTCTGTCTCTCTCTCTCTTTCTGCGTGTTCTGCACCAATTCCAATGTTTTCGCCGAGCGCCTGTCCCAAAACCACCATCGACCACCACCACCACCAACTACCTCCGTCAGGCTTGATGATACATATATCCTGGTAACCCTTGCTGCCTTGCGAGGAAAACCAAACATTAAAAAAAACAAGCAAGCAAAAAAATAACAATGCTCCGGCGCCTGGTGACCCGTTGTCATGCTTTATTGCCCGCTCCCGTTAATCGCGTTGTGGAAGAAAAAGAAGAAAAAGAAAAGTAGGTAAGACGAGTTCGTATTGTATTGTGTTGTATTGGGTGAGATGGAGAAAACTCGGGGAACCCCCGCGGGTCCCGCCGCCCCCTCCCCAACACGAGAAGCGCTTCGGGGGCGCGGCCACGAATTAGGAATTAGGGAATTAGGCGGTCCTGTCCACCTTCTCCTCGTCTGGGTGTTCGCCGACTTCCCAGGCGTCGAAGCTGGGGAAGCTGAAGTAGCATACCGAGTCTACATAGTCGTCAGGTCAGCACGGAAGGAAGCTAGGAAAGGATCGTCCTGATCGGCTAGACCAGGGTCGGTGTGTACGCACGTGGATCACGGGGAGAGTCTGATAGACGAGCTTCGCGCATCTCGGACGAGTCTAGGGCGAAGCTCCGTGTTGATGATGGCGACGAGTTAGCATTGGATATTGCGACGCGGCTGAGTAGGTCTGTTGCTCTCCGGCTGGTGTTCGGGCTCGTCAACAGTCCCTTACAAGCGTTGGAGGTGGTGATAGAAGGTTCTGTGGCACAGGCTCTAAGTAAGCGGGGCCGTCGTCTTTCCGCATTCTTCGGCCTTGGTGACGATTCCCGTCGAGGGACGATGTCAGGCGAGTATCTGGTAGTAGTAGCCATCCCGGAACCGAGGTCAAGGGTCAAGATAGCAAGATAGCAAGATAGCAAGATAGCAAGTAAACAGATTATGTGATTATGTGATTATGAGATGGGGTTGTTGGATTGTTGGATACGGAGCTTGATTGAGCTTGGTTGAGCTTGGTTATAGTCTCTTAAAGCTTGTGATGTGAGTGGCAAATTTGGTAAAAACGATGCAGGCTTGAGGAGCAAAGCTCCCCATCTATGAATGGATATTTCAAACGTTTAAGACATCGCGCAGTAAGGCAAAAAGGGCCGCTAATACCAATAGCTCTACCGGCTGTTGTGGAACGACATCCCCAGATGGTCGGTTGCGGGCAATGCCACATGTCACTCACGAATGGGGACATTTCGTATGTGGTGGTAGCTGTATGGTCTCCGTTGGCTTGGGTGGTTTGGGCGTAGACGGCCTGCAGCCGTGTTGGGCCGTCGTGCACCAGTAGGAGAGGTGGAGTGGGGAGACTTGTTAGCAACTGAACCACTCATGAAGCTGATACGGTTTAGTATCTCTTAATATCTGCAACCCATCCTTGCATTTTCCATAATACTAGTATCCATTTTTGCCTTTTTGCCCTCTTTAATACCGTTTCAATACTGCCAGGCTGCCAGACTGCCAGATTGCCAGACTAATACCTACCACCTACCACCTACCACTTACCAAGAAATCTAGGCAGCCCAAGTAGTTTTACCCCGTTTTTACTAGACACGACAAGTTTCAAGTGGCTACTGCTAGAACTGCCAGAAGGGCTAGAGCCAGCAACCTGTCAGCTTCACTATCATGATACGTAGAAAAGGAGGTCAGCGCGAGCGTAACGCGAATTCCGTGATATTCCCCTGTACCTTTATTCTCCCCCCCCTCTTCCTTGTGTCCTTGTATAATCCATGCAGATAATCAACCCAATCAATCAGTCCACTTACACCTCCGCAGACCACTCTCCCACTCTCCCACTCTTCCTGCCTATGCATCTCATCATGCCTTCTACATAGTAAGGCTGATGTAGACGAACCCTCAATTGAAGCTGCAAGATATACTTTTATACCGCACAGCATATAATCTGGGAAAGCTGACGTACTACGACGTAGCTCTACTGAATTCTTGCCGCTTGGACATGCTACAATTGGATCGCTGTCACACACTGTAAGATATTACAGATGCCACCGCAGTCACTGCAGTCACAAGGACGAAAGAGAGTACAAAACAACACACCTCTCTTGGAGTTCATACATTAGTTTCACGCGTGGCAATGGTAGAAGCGGGGGTTCTAGGTCATATCAGGTTTTCATTTAGTAACTACCTATAGCTACGCAGTTTCCACTAACTCCTACACCGGTCGTAAAAGCAAGCCAGCTCAGTTGGAGTATTCAGTGGTCGACGCTGTCATTGTTAATAATACGAAGTTGGAAGGGCCAGTTGTTCGAATGTTACTCACTCTTCCCACATCCGTCCCTGGACGGCTTTCAATTCTTCGGCAGTCATTCTGTTGCCGGTAGTGAAATATCCTGCGACCCGTTAGCTATCTTCCCGGATCAGGTAGGCCACCAGGGGTACAAGCTTACCGGCAGTAATCTTGGCATCTATCTCGACCCGTGAATCTGCGGGGATTAAGTCCTCGGGAAGTTCTACCCTCTCATGGATAGGAATACTATACTTAGTTAGATACGCCTTACCTTAGTTTACTGCATGGGGAATTGACCTACCCCTGACCAACGATAGCATCGTACTTCATACTACATTGTGACGCCCTAGCGTTAGATCTGATCCCTCTATCATTTATAGTCGGGTAACTCACTTGCTCATGCTCAGCATTCTATCGATCTTCTTTATGCCGAGCCAGTGAAGTATATCAGGCATTAGAGCCTGGAAACGCATGTCTTTAACTCCGGCGACATTTTCGGTTCTTTTGAAATAGTCCGAGGCACGATCTTCGCCCCGTTTTCTAGCGTTGTATACAACTATTGGATGTGGTTAAACTTGAGCTCAGTGTTAAAGAAACATCCAGACTCACGGTACTACTAGATGTCAGTATTTGACCAGCTACAACTCGGGGGTATAATACCTTAGTTACTTCACCCAAAGCCCGTCCTTCTTTTCTGAAGTAGATGACAACGCCACTGCCGCCATTCTGTGCTTCCTTGACGGCCTCTTCGATGCCGAAGATAAGATAGGGTCTGCAAGTGCAGATATCGGAGCCAAACACATCACTACCGTTGCACTGCATTCTCTGTAAGCCAGTAACCTCCTAGCCAATAGTCACAGTGCATGAATTACCTCATCGTGAATACGTAAGGCTAGTCTGCTCTTTTCGTCAGACATCTTCGCCGGGTCCCCGAAGCAATATACAGTCAGCCCGCCTATAAAAAGTTAGTATCGTCATTTGATGTTCCCCTGAGGTAGGACCCGAGATACCGATTGGAGGTAAGAAGACCTTAATGTCGCCTCGTGTGATAAGCTATACATATAGTAATTAGACATACGCTGGTTATCATTAGGGTGGTGGACGCTTACTTCTGGATAGCTACCCCCAGTGTGTTCGAAGAGTGAGCGCCTTAGAACACCCTCATCTGCTAGGTTTAGCCATAGGCTCGGCTACGGAGGTTGATCCTCAATACGCACCTATACCAAATCTCTCAGCTACTCCGGGGAGGTACCAAACCTACTATAGTAAGTACGACGCTTTTCGGTAGACTTGGGAGTTCAATATTCTTACTGGCTCAACTGCAAACTTGGTCACTGCCAGCTCCCCCTGTGCATTCAGGCAAACTTTCCCATCGGGAATACTAATAGTAGATTAGTGACATTAGTTTGTAACCAGACAATACCAGAGGACAACGTACAGTCTACCTCTTCGAACGCTTTCCTCTAGCTCCGGAAGCTAATTCAAATTAACAAGATTCACGGAACTACAGGGCTAAAATTGTTTACCTTCATATGAGCTTTGGTTATGGCGATTGTGGGGCGAATATCAACTGTGATCACTCATTAGCTTGCCCAACGTATATATCATTCGCTCTTAGTTAGGGCCGTTAGTTACCGTCCTCCTTTTCTATAACGTCGGCGAAAAGCCACGGGGCCAAGTGACCCCAAGGATCCATAGCGACGATCTTTTTCTTATCGCTCCATTGAGGAAACGGGCCAATATTGGCGGCCGGTTCGGTGTTGGTGAAATCTGGCCTACATTGAGAACGATAAATTAGGCGTCAACAACTTGGTTAATGGCGCTGGCGTAACCGTACCTATGGTTGGCGTTGAGCTGCTTGCTAGCAAGTGCAAGAGCAAAGTAGATGGAATAGGAACCACCGTGTGCTATGTTATCAAGTTATGTGAGGCTCCAAACAACTTAATGGTAGATCATGGCTTACCTCCGATAGCTAGAACGTCGTTAGTAGCTAAAAAAGCATACAATAAGTGATAAACTTACCGTTGCGCTTTCGAATTGTGGATGATGACCGGGAGACGACCACCGGGCCTCGGCTGGCTGCATCCGGAGCCCCCCATTGAAGAGGGAGTGGGTTAATACCAATCTGTTTGGGATATGTACTAGCTAATGGTTAATACATAGAGCCATTAGGAATCTCACGAGACATGAAACTTACGTAAGTATAATTCGGGATGTGAATCCGGCTTTTTGTGCCTGAGTTGCTTCTCTTGTTGTAGGCGATGTGTTACCGGATTCAGCCTCACCAGCAGCCAAGGTCGACCGGATCGGTGATGTCGGGGCCACAGCAAGGGGAGTTGCTACCCTATTGATACTGAGGCTCGGCACTTGGCCGGACGGAGCAAGAGTATCAAGTCGAAGGGAGACGGATTCGACTTCGGATGCCAATTTGGTCTGGTTCTCCTGGATACTCTTCAGGGCCTCAAGGACGTCGGCCATGCCCACAGAACTGTTTATACCCGAGTCCGCCATTGTCACAACTTGACAAGAAGTAATCTTAAAGTCTAAAGAATGAGCGATAGAGTTATAGGTGAATGAAGCAAATAGATAAGTAGGACAGGTCAAAACAATGCCTTGTTGATAACCTTACGTTTTGGTTTAGTATTGTTATGAACGAGTTGGTTGTCTAGTAACTATGTGAGGGTAATGGAGATAGTAAAGTTGTTGGAAGTTGAAGAATACACGAAGTTAAGTTATGTAGGAAGATACACGGAGCGGTATGAGAGGGTCAAGACGGGACCGCGCCTAACATTCTACGAAAGTATACAGTACTTGGACCGACAAGAAAACATAATTTTACTAGACTTAACTTTGGCCGGATGAGCTGGAATGAGACCAAGCAGCCAAGTACATAGGTATACATACATGTAGGTGTACCTACGGAGCTCATGTCCCTCCTACCTGATAAGGTGCCCAAGGAAAAGGTAGGCACCTGACTGTTTAGTTAATAGTAATAACCCACTAAACTAGTCGTAATCCCCACTAGTTCGTACCTGCGTCTTCTGTAAACATCTAGTCTCCTTCATGTTCATTGGCATTGGAAATGTGTCTTATCTAAGAAAAGTCGGGCAAATGTGCAACTTATGATTATATCGAGTTGTATAAATGCGGTAAAGAAACCCCGCCTTATTAGGTATCTGCTAGTGCCCTAGGTTAGCTTCTTCGTTAGCTTCGTTGATAAGCGATAAGAGAGCTTTATCCAAGAAGTAACTTTTTAATACTCTTGTGCTAGGCGAAGCTTTCGAGCGCCACGTAAAGCCTTAAAATACAAAGTATTTCGTCCTTTCAAGACAGTTTTTACTGTTCTGAAGGCGAAACGCTTTACGCAAAAGTAAGAGCACTGTAACTTGTGAATTATACTTATGTTTAAAGTTGTTGACAATCGGAACTTTATAGCTTTATAGTATTAAAACGCGCACTGTTTTCTTTACGCGACAAGCCAACGTACGTCATTCCCTATAAAACCCATAGCACCTTTCCTCAGTTTCAGCCTTCTCCATACAAACTCGTAACCGATCCACCTTCTGACTAAATCAACCACAGACCGTACTCCAAACGGTATCGCGACACTTGAAGCCTTGTCGCATTTCGATTCGCCATGGTAAGCGACCTCCTACGTCAAATTGCGATATTGAGTAGTCGCTAATATAGATGGCTATTATAGGGGAAGCGCAAGAAGAGTTCGAGAAAACCTCAGGGCAAGAAGAAGAACGATCCCCTACCTACTATATTCACATGTCTATTCTGTAACCACGAGCGATCCGTCACCGTCGAAATGAATAAGAAATCTGGCGTCGGTGAACTGGAATGCAAAGTATGCGGCCAGAGATTTCAATGCGGAATCAACTGTAAGCAGAATCGCATCAGCTATTACAGATAGTTGCTAATGGTGGACTAGATCTTTCTGCGCCTGTCGACGTCTATAGCGAATGGATTGATGCAGCAGGTATGTGGATTTTTAACTGATGTATTATCTATAATGTTGCTTACGCGGTTCTAGATGCTGTCGCAAAAGACGACACTACTGGAGGCGCCTCTGGCTCAGCCCCGGGTTACCGGCTAGGCTCAAAACAATCGGCAGCTGGTCGCTACGATGATGACGAAGATGACCGCGGGTACGAGGGAGAGGGTGTTGTGGGAGACGATGACGAATACTAAGCAGTTATAATACTCTCGATGAATTAAGCCTTGCTTTGCCGGATCAATGCGATAAAATCAACTCGGTAGTGATAACGCCCATATCATATGACATGCAATTATTACCGTCAAGGCCCCGTGTTATTTAATATCTGCAGTCCATCTGACTATACCGTTTGTCATAGAAGTTGTCGCCCGTGCTCTTTACAGAACGGGGAGTCATCGGGGCTCCAAATAATGATGTATACTACTAATAGACGTTGGATTCTACTTACTCTTATCTTCTGAAGTCCGTAGTCACGATTAATCCGCGTTACATGGTGTAGAACCGATCCCCGAAGTCGCCCAAGCCTGGAATGATGTAACTAAGAGAATGTCAGTGAAGGCTTCCATAGCAAAGCTTTGTCGACATACTTCTTCTCGTCAAGGCCCTACAAGGTATCTGAATTAGTATTTGCAATAGGATGAATTTTGGGGAGTAGATAATATTTCTTACCTGATCGATGAATGCTGTAACGACCCGCAGCTTGGGGAACTTGGTTGCGAAATTTTGTACCCCTTCTGGGCTGGCGATCAAGTTCAGGAAAAGAATCCTCTCTTCTGGAACGCCCCGTGATTTTAGGACTTCGACGGCCATGATAGCAGATCCGCCTAAAGTATTAGACCTAGGTTAGTCCTCTCGAAAGTGAGCAAATATGATATAGGTAGCTAGCAGTCTGACCTGTTGCAAACATCGGATCAAGTAATAGAACCCATCTATCAGCAATATCCTCAGGCAATTTATCGTAAAATAACTTTGGCTTTGCTGTCTCTTCATCTCGCTGGATTAAGATTTTGCCAATCCTAACCGATCTGCAGCAGTCTCGAAGACCTTGTTCCATAGCTTCGCCAGCCCTCATAATAGAGACACCGCAGATTTTCCCCTGAAACATGAGTCCGTCGTAGGTACGACCAACCGGGGTAGTTACAGTGTGTTCAATGACGGGTAGATGGTTGAGCCCTTCCTCGACAAGCAGACGAATAATTCGGTTCGAGTAGAAAATGAAGTCAGCTCGTTCCGTCTTTCTGTCACGGATCTTCCTATCCCGGAATTAGTTCCTGGATAATTCGAGCACTAAATATATCGTAAAACGCTCGAGTCGACTAACAAGGAAACTACTCACGTGAGCAATGCGATGAGCTGTGGCGTTTGGGGCAATGTGATAACGTTGTCATGTTCAACCGCCGTTGAGACAGTGGCGATAGGCTTTTGACTAGGCGAGCGGTAGTCGGGACCTACGTACTGCACGGGGCCGACTTGAGGACGATTTCCAGATTCGGTAGCCATTCTATATCTTCTAGACGAGTCGTTTAAATAGTATAAAGCCCCGCAACACTTGTACGATGTCTAGAAGATATAATATCCTAGAAACACTTAGAGATGTGACCTTACTCGAAGAATAAACCGACGTCACACACAGCCTAAGCGGTCAACGGTGCTGTCAGTAGTTCCCTAGTTATCTACAATAGGCGTATGCAGATGTTCTGCGTTGAGGGGGAGGGAAAGAAGAGTGAAATACACCAAGACTTTATAAGTCAAGTGATTAAACCGAAACTAAAGGGACAACCCTGGCATTTTTTTTTTTAGCAAATAGTATAACGTGAGAGAAAGATTAGGAAGGCCAAATTCCAATATAATAAATTCAAGATGCTCTAAATAGATAGGTATCTCATAAAGCAATAGCTTTAAGCATAAGTCGAGGTTCCTGGAGCTGACTTGTAGAAAAACGAATGATAAGCCCTAATAGGAAGTCTAGAGTGGGCTTGGCAACAAGTGATGACCGGACACAGGTACCTATGTACATACATACCTACACAGTGGATCCCGCCTGCAGTTCTTCACCACATCTTTTATCTGGTTTATCTGGCTTATCTGCTTATTGTAGCGCCTTCCTTGTTTCAGGCTTCAGCTCAGCAGCTTACAAAACTGGTTGGCTACAAAACTGGTTGGCTACAAAACTGGTTGGCTACTACTAACTAGCCGACCTAACCAGTCAACAAAGAGCTGTTGCTTTACTTTATGTATTTAAGTTATGTTGTGGTTCGATGAAGCTAATAGATGGATGCTTCCGTCTTTAACTAACAAGGCAAGACCGACACAGCAAATACTTACTTACCTATTCATACTTATTCACCTGTACCTGCCAAGGAGGTATTAGGTTCAATGCATTGGAGGATATCTTAGGTTCTAGGGCGTGAATCCCGGTGAATTCACGGTATCGCCCTTCTTGCGACCTCCGCACCTCTTTGGTTGCACTTTCTTGTCCTATCACCTATCATCCACTTAGCCTAACAACATCAAATCAGCTTCGCAATCCTTCCTATTTATCGTCCCACCCTCAACTCAATAATTCGTCACTTACCACTCCTTACGGTAGTCCCCTGCAAGGCTACCATAAGCGCGTCTCACAGCTATTAACATAAATTCTACTACTATTCCCATCTCGAACCTCCGGCTTTCAATAATCTGCTGTCGCTATAAATGATCAATCATCTTATGCTATTGATATTTCAACCTGCTTCGAAGGTGTTTAACCAGGTACCACCATGCCTATGAAGCAGGATTTCAATGCTCCCCGAAAGAAAGGGCTCACCACCTATGGAAAAGCCGCTCGTAGAAGACAATCAAAGGCACTCATTACTCCCAGCGACTTCCCACCTATACCGGAGGATGATTCCGTCTTGAAGCACAAGGCCACTGTAACGCGCCGCCGACCTACGCTACTCAGTTCCCCGCTACGAGATTCCTCTTCGCCAACATCTCGAGGTATTGATGGGTCGGCTGACATAAAGACGAAACCAGATAGCTCGCAAGACAACACACAAGGCATTGATCGGAAACGTAAGATATCCCAAGTGTACGCGTCTAAGGGGCGAGCACAGGAATCTTACCAGGCTGGCCAGCGCGATGTCTCCCCTGATCACGTACGACGTCGGTCGAACCCGTATACTTCTACTTCTACTGCTACCCGCCAAACGGCTCCCTCTACTTCGCGACAACGCGCCCGGCCAGTTCCATTAGAATCTATGGATACCGATGCGGCCGAACCAAGACTATCAAGCCCGCCGCCTACGCCAACATTGCTAAATGGTTCGAGGCAGCCTAAGTCTGCAGGTGTTAGAGGTTCAGCAGGATCGACTTCGGATGTAACTATGATGAGGAAGGAAAAGCGGGATGTTATGCAGCAGCGCATACCCCTCCGCTTTGCCCGCGAAAGTATCGCAAAACCTAAGGGGTCGAGTCTCCTTTCAGATAGAGCAGACAATGAAGTCCGGTCGAATCCCCAACCAGTTCCAGATAGTGGCAAGAAGCGCAGAAAGCGAATAATCGACACACTAGTTGAACAGAGGAAGGATGACGAAGCCGAGACTGTCGAGGAGGCTTTAGAAAGCCAAGAGAGTTCAAGCCGGTCAACCTTAAGTCACCAAATTAGTGACGTCTCAATGGCAGACTCTCAATCCTTGCCTCAAACCCCAAGCCGTAAACCCGCGACAACGCAAGCAACTAGCACTAGGACTTTTACCCGCTCCAGTAGTGCGCTTAAGTTCACATACGGCCAAGGTAGAAAAGTACTAGAGGAGGAGGTTGATTTACTGGAGAGCCTTGCCCTACCCGAGATGTCGGCTCCTTTGAAGGGGAGACGCTTAGAGCTCGGAACCCCAAAGAAAGCAGTCAATACTAAGGGGGTCTTTGACGACGACGACGACGCGCTTAATGGTTCGCCTAATTCAAAGCTGCGGGATATCCACGAATTAAGACAGGCCGGGGCAAACTCTCGTGTGGCGGATACGATGCAAGACTTAGCCGACCAGATTGGTTCTCCAAGTGACAAACCTTCATCCTCTCGAAGAGCCGCATTGCTCCAGATAGCGGAGAAAATCAAAGATAAGACATTTATGCGGCAATGCCGTGATCACGGTGTTGAGGCAGCATTACTCAAAGATGTGGACAAAGAGACTGATACCATCTCTGGATACCTGATTTTATCAATCCTCGTGACGATACTTGCAAAATGGCCTTCTTCGCATACACAACAGCTCGTCCGGCTTGGTAAACCTGCGAACATGTTTGCCCTTCTCCTCGGCGTTACTAGGGACATCAAGGTAATAGCACGAGATAGGAAGAGCAACTTATCCAAGAGGAGCCAGACCTCTCTCATTGCCGTTCAGACTTCGCTATGTGAGCTATCCATCTGGGGCGAGGCTAGTCCACCACGCATCTCACCAAGAAGTCTTGCCCTTAAATGTCTACACCTACTTATTACGCAGAATGTTAATGCAGCTAAGGACCCTGCGGTCTTCTCTCCAGCTGTAGCAGAGGCTTTATTCGCAGTACTCTCGGAAGCGGTTGAAAGCACAGAGTATTGGGACTATCCCGCAACAGCGGAAGCGATTGACCTTGCAAACACTTTATCAATTCTCGACTTCTATGCCGTCAGCCTTGAGGAACCGCAGCGTTCAAACGCTGACTGGACTACTCGATATCTACCCATTGTAGCCGACGTCTTCAGCGCTTCCTCGCGAAATGTAATACCAGATATTACAGCCCAAGAGAGTGAAAGCAAGCTGCTCGAGGGTGCTATCCTGAAGCTCACTATCAACTTGACGAATAATAGCCTAGAAGCACCGGAAGTATTTGTATCAAAAGGACTGATTCCTGCGTTGGCGAACTCGATATCCAGTAACTTCGCCCGCATTTGGGCGTCTTTGTCCCAGGATACTTGGGTCGATGGGATCTTAGACAGCCTAGTCCTACGGCTAGGAATTCTGATCAATTTCTCGGAGCACAGTTCCCTCGTCAGACAAGTCATTGATGATTGCCACCATGATAATCAACGGCCAGTTGACGAATTGATACGACTATTCCTAGAGAACTATCGAAGGACAGCAGAGGTGAGTACTGAGTAGCCCTATTTTATTATTCTGCGCTAACAAGGAGACAGGCCGATTCGATGGAGACTAGCCATTTGAATGTTGCCTTTGGATACTTGTCCGTATTGCTAGGCTATCTAGCTCTACACCCGCCAGTGCGACAGAAAATACGGTCGAACCACTCGACCAAGAGTATCACGCCTCTACTTGATTCTTTACGCGAATTTATTACCCACTACAAGAAGGTGGAGCAAAACATAGGCGAAGATGACGATGGCTCACGAGACCACAGCAGTTACATGGTACGACTTCAGGACCTAGTACGCCAATTGGAAGACCAATCACAATATGATTAATTCGGAGCTGGGAGATATTGTTGAAGCAGGTTGGATGCATTGGATGGTTTCCTCCAAAGGCATGCCATATACGCACTATTTACCGTTGTAGGAAAAGTTGATTTTCAGTATGGGATACAAGGGGGGGAGAGTTGAAAAGCGTATTATCACGAGGAAAGGTTTAAACCATTTTGGTCCTTAGGCGTCTTAAAGAGAGGGGATGTAGACGTCTGCCATGATTTTATTGCCATGATTTTATTGCCATGATTTTATTGGCATTACCCCAACGGAAGGTTTTCCGGACGAAGTCAAAAATACACGATCGAATACCCTTGAGGCAACCCACAAGGCATGACGATAACGGATGAACATGGCGGATAATGCGGAATAGTGCAGGCAGCAGGATACCCAGGGCATAGGTATCTAGAATCGAGTTAGACAGAGGAAGGTCTCGACTCTAGGATCTAGTGTTAACGGAGCTTTGCAATTCATATCTATTACAGCTATTATAAGCCTTGAGCCGCAGGAATGCTACCTTAGCACCCTAGCACCTTACCCCAGTACCATTTTCAGGCACGTTTGTATTTTACCGGAGTCTGGGCCAAGCCCCGCGTTCATCCGGAGAGTCAATGATGGCTTTATTACAGGGGCTCCCCTTATTGATTTGTTTTTAGGCGCCTCCATAAGGTATGTCAAAGCAAGTTATTAATAGGAACTCGATACATTATAGGTGCCATAGCTAGCCGTGCTGTGCATGCTTCCTAGGTTAACCTTGGTTAGCCGCTACCTATGCCGCTATGGCTTCCAAGTTCTACTACATGTATGTATTGTACCTAACATAGGTAGGTAGGCTACGTAGCATGTACCTACAGTATACTTATAAGTATTTGATACGGCTGTACGGCGGCATGTGTACCTACACTGTAGTTAACTGGTACTTTAAATGCTATACCTATATCACGTACCTACCCCGCCTACGCCCTATAAGTTTTTTAGAGCTCATATGTACCATGAGCCCTTCTGTTCCCAGTCCCTGAAGCGCCTGAACGATCAGCTCGTTCCATGTAATAAACAAGGAGAAAAGCCCCTCCCTCACATCTCTCTTACTCTGACCTCATAACCCGATGGTCCTTAATCTCTACTACGTGATATTGGGTAACATCTGCACGTCATAAAATACAAATGTGTGCCTGATCAAAGAAGGTCTAATAAGAAGATCGAACGTTGAAAATAATTTAAATCAAAAAAAGGTGCGCTCATCCCGCGCCGACTCGGAACTCCAGATCAATATTCCGTACATAAACTAAAAACTAAAAATCAACCTTACCTACACACAATACGACACACCCGCGGACAATATCACAATACACAAATACACAAATACACAAAGCGCGCAACGCATATACCTAGCAACGCACATACCCAACACATACTTCCCGCACGGGAAATATTTACACTTTCTTATTCCTCGTCGCTCGTTCCCCTTCCCCCCACACCGCGCGCACGCCCGACAAGTCCCGACGTGTAATGCAGCATTATTACCTATCCAGCATGCTCATGTGAGGTACCTAACATAGATAATACCTGCAGCACACGATAATCCTTAGTTGCGCCTTGCCTCGCCTTACCTCTCCGTAAATGCCGTCACCGTCAAAGCAACGGAAGGTTGCCATTGTTGGCAGCCGATCCGTAGGTACGTGTCTTATTCTTCTATTTTATCCTTCTAGTATTCTTCGCGTTCTTCATGTTCTTCCTGGTACCTTTATCTACATACATCTCCCTTGCCTAGCCTTGTCCCTTGCGAGTTCTTTTCTTCTTCTTTTTCTTTTCTCTTTTTTCATGGATCATGCATATGATATGATACGTATTAATATAATATATGACATGTCTCATGGCCACAGAGCTAAGCTAACGCCTCGTAACCCCATCTTGCAGGCAAATCTTCCTTGGCGGTGCAGTTCGTCGACGGCCACTTCGTCGAGAGCTACTATCCCACCATCGAGAATACCTTTAGCAAGGTCATTCGATTTAAGGGTCAGGACTATGCTACTGAAATTGTCGATACCGCCGGCCAAGATGAGTACAGCATCCTGAATTCGAAGCACTTCATCGGCATCCATGGCTACATGCTGGTGTACTCGGTGTCCTCGCTGCCATCGTTCGAGATGGTGCAGGTCATCCGCGAGAAGATTCTCAACCACCTTGTTTGTCATCCCACTAATTAATTCCTAGAACTCTTCAATCGCGTTTAGTGATATAGTAGCTAACTAATTGGCAACTCCAGGGCACAGATTGGGTCCCAATTGTCATAGTAGGCAACAAGAGCGACTTGCGCCCTGAGCAACGCCAGGTTAGTCAGGAAGACGGCAAGAAGCTAGCGGAGAAATTCAACTGCGGATGGACTGAAGCCAGCGCGCGTTACAACGAGAATGTCGGTAAGGCCTTCGAGCTCCTGATCGCCCAGGTGGAAAAGTCCCAGAACCCGAACGAAGCAACGAACGAAGGAAAGTGTCAGATGATGTAAACAACAACAACAACAACAACTTGAAGGAGGAAACCAAGGACAGGTTTCAAAGGAAATACTACTACTACTACTACGTTGGAATACCAAACGAGCAAGGACAACGCGATGGAACGTTTGGAAGGCTAGAAGGGGATCTCTGAGCCGCCGCAGGGTGGTGGGATCTAGGTCTAGGTGCTATTGTGTTTTCGGACAGGTTACTGCTGCTTTCTTATTTCGGCTTTGCATTATGAACCACACAGGTTACTAGTTATGATGTCTTGAAAGGCAGAGACGATAATTGCCATGACTTGTATATACTAGTCAGAGCTTCAGATCTGGTTAAGGAGTTAACCGGAAGTGCTTTATTGCTACCTCATAATATAACAGGCTCAACAGTTGCTATTAGCATATGGCATTAATAATGACATCTCGATTACACTGGAAACAAAACAAAAAAAAACATCTTCAGAATTATGTCTTGGAGTTTTGGTATAAAGCAAAAGAGTAAAAAGCATGAGAATGCATACATATAGGTAGGATACGTGCAGTTACTGCACTGCAGGCTGCCAGGTAGGTACATGTATTCAAGTACCCAAAAAAGGAAAAAAAAAAAAAAAAAAAAAAAAAAGAGAGCTGACGATAAAGAGGTACGTACCTCATCTATCATATCGCATATCATGCCCCCCTTCTGCCCCTCTGCTTCGAAAACCACCCCACCAAAATTTAGTCACTCCTTTAAACTGCACGGAAAGGAGTATTTCGACATCAATCTTACTTCAAAGTCGCCTTCAAGTCCTCGATCATGCTCGACGTTTTAGATTTCATCACCGAGCGGGGTGGTAACCCTGAGAAGATCCGCGAGTCACAGCGCCGCAGATATGCCAAGGTCGAAGTTGTTGACGAGGTAATCGAGATGTTCGAGGACCATCGCAGAAGTTAGTCGCATGCCCTCTCGTACCAAGCAATATTCGCGATTAACATATCGTAAAAACCATAGCCCAATATGCCGCCACTCAGATAAACAGCAAGATCAACGAAGTGCAGAAGCAGATCGGTGCTAAGAAAAAGGTCATGATTCCTCTGAGTCATCGAGACGTCTTATACATATTCTCGTGTTACTCTCGTGTCTAAGTACTAACTACCAATGTATATATAGGCCAAGGAAAACGCCGATGAACTACTTCAACAAAAGGCCGAACTCGAAAAAGAGAAGAAGGCATTTATCGACTCGGCAGCTCAGAAAGATATCGCGCTAAAAGCCAAGATCAATACCATCGGCAACATCGTCCACGATTCGGTCCCTATCAGCGATAACGAAGACAACAACGCAATCCAGCGAACGTGGGCCCCGCCAGGAGTCACAGTAGAGAAGAAGAACGTACTCTCGCATCACGAGGTTCTCTTACGACTGGATGGTTACGACCCTGATCGTGGAGTCAAGGTTGTGGGCCACAGAGGTTACTTCTTAAGACAATGGGGTGTATTCCTTAACCAGGCTCTGATCAACTATGGTCTAGAATACCTTAGCAGCAAGGGTTTCACTCCCCTACAGACACCCCAGTTTATGCTCAAGGACTACATGGCGAAGACAGCTCAGCTAGAGCAGTTTGACGAGGAATTATACAAGGTAGTAGACGGCGAAGCGCAAAACGACAAATACCTCATCGCAACCTCGGAACAGCCCATCTCCGCCTTCCACGCCGACGAATGGATGATAGCCAAGGAGCTACCTATCAAGTACGCGGGCTTTAGCACGTGCTACAGAAGAGAGGCCGGTTCTCACGGTCGTGACGCTTGGGGTATCTTCCGTGTCCACCAATTCGAGAAGGTGGAGCAATTCGTGCTTACGGACCCCGAGAAGTCGTGGGAGATGTTCGAAGAAATGTTCGCAACCTCTGAGGAATTCTACAAGTCTCTCGGATTACCGTACCAAGTCGTAGCTATCGTCTCGGGGGCGCTGAACAACGCAGCTGCCAAGAAGTTCGATCTGGAGGCCTGGTTCCCCTTCCAGGGAGAATATAAGGAGCTTGTGTCGTGCTCAAACTGCACCGACTACCAGTCGCGGGCCCTAGAAATACGGTTTGGTACTAAGACGCAGACGGACGCTAAGAAGAAGTACGTCCACTGCCTCAACTCGACGCTTTGTGCCACCGAGAGAGCGCTATGCTGTATTCTTGAGAACTACCAGACCGAGGATGTAAGTGTATATTTAATTCTTAAATACCTACCGAGGCTAACTTATTCCAGGGTCTCCGAGTTCCCGAGCCGCTGCGCAAGTACATTCCGGGCGCTCCCGACTTCATCCCTTTCACCAAGGAACTACCCAAGGATTCAACTTCAGCAAAAGCTAAGACCAAGGGAGAGAAGGGTGTCAAGCAAAAGGTGGCTGCTGCGGGAGCGGCAGTCGCGGAAGCTGGGGAGAAGCTGAAGGATTTGGCGGTATAATTAAATGAAAGATTGACGGGTTCGGATGCTGAGGAATGCGTACTATCTCGTTGGAGGCGATGCAGTTGGACTGCAACGAGGAAGATATTTAAGTGCATCTCATGCTATGGCACTTAGCAAAAAGTAACAGCCATGCGTTTGACTAGCGTAGCAGCACCAGTATCTTACACGATACCGAATAGAGACGAATTACCCATGACAGCCCTGATGTTTTAAGACATGGATTTGTGGACATGGATTTGTGAGGTATATCGTGAGAAACTATAGTAGCTAAAAAACAGCTCAAGGGTTTAAACTAGATGTGATGCTAATGTTTAGGAATGAAATGAATAGGAGGGGTGGTAAGATGGCAAGGTCAAAAGAGCATCGATGTTTTTGGCTTCCATGACAGGGAACTTCGGTTCTATCGGCTCGCTATTGGACCCCTGTAGAATGGATCTGAACGTGCATGTAACTTTTGAATATAACTAACTATGTAACTAGTTATACCTAATTAGTCATTGTCTTCTCTTATTTAATTGTATTCTCTTTGTTATTCTGCATTAGATGCTGCAATAGACAGACAATACTATGTAGTGTTAGTTAACTATACATAGTTACATCTTCCATTAGTTACTACCTACCTAGGTACCTACCTACCTATGAGGTCCCTATGTATTGAATGCAATCAAGCGTAAGCCTTTACATTCCGAACCTTCTAGGTTAAAGACGTTCTCGGGGAACACGAGGCATCAGCCGCACACGGCTTCCCTGCTGCCCTGCACCCTGGAGAAAATGCCCACTTATTCGTTCTTTGAGAAGGAACTATGTATTATGTATTCCCCCTAAATAATACGAATGAATCTGAATCCAGTTATGGATGATAATTCAACCACTAAGTGCAAAACTGACCTAGGTTACTTCACTCATTCTATTTTTTCCCCCTATTCATCCACAAATTAGAAACAGCACTGGTATTAAATGCATAGTTGAAGCAAACAGCCAATCAACCCCGTGGGTGGCTAGGATCCTACCTAACGTATTTACCTAACCTAACGTATTACAAGACGCAGGCGCTTACGTCTTTTATCCAGCCATCATTACGTTCTAGCTTTGTTCTAGCAGCTAGGTTAGCAGGTTAATAATTAGGAGCGAAAAGAGCAAGAGCATCATCATCTCCACTGTAGCTTAGGTTAGGTACTTACTATAGCTGTTATGTCGGGTGTATTCAACTGCCCCTTTTGCGGATACAAGGATTCCGTCGAATACAGCATCCTACTTGTAAGTCCCGTAACCCCCTACTCCCCCGTCGTGCTCTCATGCCGAGACGACGACGACGACGACTTCGTTCTTTTCTCCGGGTGCTCATGCGCTTCTCGCAGCACCTGGAGGCCCATCATAGCGAGGGCAAATCCCCGTTCATACCGGATGAAACACATAATGCTGCTAGGCCGGGGGTAGAAGCTACCGTCGCTAAGGAAGAGCTTACCGAGTATTTCCAATGCCCGGTCAAGAGCTGCGGTGAGATCTTGCACCTAGATAGGCTGGACGACCACCTCGAATTGCATAACGCGGAGCTGGTCGGCAATGCGGCTGAAGGATCGAATACTGGCGAGCTAGGGAGTGCGTCGTCGGAGAGCGGCTCTCAATCTTCTTCTACGCGAACTCCGGGACCCAGCCGAGCCAAGCCCGACGTACCGGTCGGCCCTGTCCCGAGCGCGCTACCGCTCAACACGACCGGAGACTACCACATAAAATCATCCAAGCCAGTCAGGAGACTTGGAGTAAGTTTGCTTCATTTCATAATGCAACTCATAGTTTAGCATTCATAACCTCGGATATATTCGAAATATAGGGAAATGTCTAGTTAGCGAGCTGACATGACGTCTAGAAAAAAGAACTCGGCGCGTACTACAACGAGGAGAGAATGCCGCGCTGGCTCGAGGATTTGCTGAGGAAACGCGGGTATAAGAGCTCAAAAGGTTGGTTCCTCTCCAGCTTGTCGAAGCTCGTAAGGCTATGCGTCTGGGGCACATCAGCTCACGAATACTCTTAGGCGTAATACCCGTCCTCGCACAGCTTCTGCATCAGAACAAGTATACGCAATACGCGTATCTCTGTCACCCGGAAACACAACACATTTCCAAGCTTAGAAGCGAGGGTATGTATTGTTCACATCTCTACATCTACGTATCGCTTTATGCTTTATGCTTTATGCAGGATAATGGTAATCTAACGACCATCGTTTGATAGGCAGCTTCTGCGGTTACAGGAATATCCAGATGCTGATATCGTATATCGTCGGTACGAGCACGACGGGCGCTGCGGCTTTCAAGAACACTATCCCGAGTATCTTCCAGATCCAGGATCTCATCGAGAACGCCTGGGATCAGGGTATCCACGAGGATGGCCGGACGGAACTCGGTGTGCTTAGAGGCACTCGTAAGTATATCGGAACACCCGAGGTGAGTTAAACTAATATTTTCTTACCGTCTGTTGGGCTTCAAGAACAATAGATAGAATATCACCCATTCACCGTTGAGCAGACATGCACAAGCCATCCTAACTAACTGTTACACCTCTCAATAGGCCCAGACGCTGTTCGCAAGTTTAGGCATACAGTAAGTCCCATTTGCTCTTATTCTTATATTCGACGAAGCCATACAAGCACATGCTCTCATCTCGTACTTGAATACTAACGTATCGCTTTTCTTCTAGATGGGACATGCAAACGTTCAAGAACCGCCCGGGAGAACCGTCTACTGCTTCGGAGAACAGGATGTACGACGCCGTGGAAGAGTATTTCGCGACAGTGCCAAACGTCAATATGCAAAATAAGGTCCGCAACACGATGCGGCCACCGATTTATCTACAGCATCAGGGTAAGCCTCTCATAATCTTTTCCTTCTTCTCACTTATACACAATATATTGAGATTAAGGAACGAGAAGATTAACACATAAACTTAACCATTTTTAACCCAGCTTGCTAACACGTCTACAATTCAAAGGCCACTCCATGACCATCATCGGCATAGAGCGCCAGCCCAGCGGCAACCGGAACCTGATCGTTTTCGACCCGTCCTATGGGGACCCGTCCAACATCACGCGACACCTCGACGGCACGAGGCCCGTCGAGCATAACCACCACCCAGACCGTGCGCTCAAGCTCTACCGCCGCGGCCCGAGGTACCTGAGCAAGTACCAGGCTTTTGAACTCATGAGGTACGTACATACTTGTATCTAGATTTTCCTATTTCTGTTAACCCTACGCCATGCGCGTGGCGCTCCTCCTCGTATACCCCGTTTCGTGTTAGCCATATTACGAGCCCCTAGTCCTAGGCTTACGCTTACGTATCCTTCGGGCATCTAGGCTAAAAGAGTAATCCATCATCTTCCAACTTTGAAATTTTCTTCTTCGGTCGCGTGACCGAGTCAACTACCTAATCCCGGCCGGCACAGCAGACATTTTTCGTAGTCGGATATCTTCGGCGTCTAAGGAGGCGGGTCATAACGGCGTTAGAATATCAAGCATGCCGTATTGTATCCAAGTAGGTTAACATGCAAGTTAAGTGTTCCGATAGCTTGAATCGAGGCGGCTAGTGAGGGTTTAGAAATGTAAAATGCTTTATTCGTCTATTCATCCTTTGGTAGCCGAGATCCGTACGGGATTTCCTCGCGCGTGAGTATGTCTATGTGGTAGTGGTAGGTATCATATGGAGATCTAAGTCAACTGTGCGCATCTAAGCGCCCCCTTTACGCCTTCATACCGCCGCCCTCGATCCACGCGCGCAGCTTCTCGAGCGCCTTGAAGCGGTGGGAGATCTTGTTCTTGGCGGCCTTGTCCATCTCGGCGTAGCTGTGGTCGTTAGCTTTTTTTTTTTCTTTCTTTTTTGTCTCTTTCTAACACCGTGTAATACCGGTCGTAGATGATAGGAACAAGGCGGTGTTAAGGAGAGAAGCAAAAAAACAAAAAAAAAAACAAAAAAAAAGGGGGGGGGAAACTTACGTCTGTCCGTCATACTCGAAGATGGGATCCCAGCCTAGCGGAGAAAGGTAGTTAGTTAGCTAGTAATTTGCTATATCATACTAGCTCGGTGCAAGGTTAAACCGAGGGGATAAAGGATAAAGGATAACGGGGACGGGGGGGTTGGGCGTGAACACACCGAACGTGCTAGGGCCCCTCGGAGGCACGATCTTGCCGCGGGTGCGCCCCTGGAACAGGAGGACCTCCTCGCCGGGGCCCTGGCAGAAGCCGAAGGTGGCGACGGCCTGGGCGGACTTGTCGTCGTAGGCGGCGAGGAGGTTGTTGAGGCCGGCGTGGCCGATGGATTGCATGAACCATTTTCTGGGGGTTGGTGTTAGTTAGTGTTGGTGTTGGTGTTGGTGTTGGTGTTGGTGTTGGTGTTGGTTGTTGGTTGTTGGCTTATAGATATATATATGTTTGTACGAGGATGGGTGGATATAAAACAAATAAAACGGAATGAAGTCAAGTCAAGTAGAATAGAGTAGAGTAGAGTAAAATAAGAGAGAGAGAGAGAGAGAGAGAGAGAGATCGAGCATACATGTACGGCCCCGGCAGGCCGTTCAGGGCGTCGTAGCACAGGCACGTGTCCTCGACGAGGACGGGCCCGCCGACGGCGGCGGCGGCGGCACGGCACTTGTCGCGCGTGACGTCGTCGAGGGCGCCCTGGATCTCGGGCAGGTCGAGGGGCTGGTTGCGGACGGTGATGCCGGCGGGTTTGAGGATGGCGCGGACCTCGGAGAGCTTGTTGGCGTTGCCGGTGATGAAGTTGAGGACGGGGGACATGGTGGGTGGGTGCGTGTGTGAGTGTTGTTGTTGTTGTTGTTGGGTTGGGTTACGGTAATGTGTAAGTTAAGTGTTAGAGTAAAATAGGATAAAATGAAACAATTATCGAATTTGTGCAAAGTGAAAAAATAAAAAATAATAAAAAAGTCTAATCAAGAAGACAGAGAAGTAAATGATAAATCAATGGATCGCTCAATAGGATAGTTACCCCTTTCCAGAAACTAATCTATCTCTTCGACCGGAAAGTCTATCGTCTTATATCCCTGAGAAAAAGTTCCAGAAAGATAAAAGCTCCGGTGTGACGCACCGGCGACATGCAATGCAGACAGACTAATGCACATGGCTGGGGCTAAAAAGTCTGCCGTTGCGGCTTTTTGCTGCCGTCTCATTGGCGGAGAGACCTTGGACTATAGGTACCTACATAGACCAACAGACCAACAAGCAAACAAACAAGCAACCTTAGTATCAGCCCAACGAGGCGAAGTTGTTAGGTGCGTGACTATATTATGATGGGCAAGGCTTAAGGATGCTATGATTTTTACACATGTTGGTTGTTGGTGAGAAATGATGATAATAATAATAATATAATAATATAATAATATAATAATATAATAATATAATAATATAATAATATAATAATATAATAATATAATAATATAATAATATAATAATAATAATATAGAAGGTTGATCTGCGCTTTGTTTTTTGAGTAGGTAGGTAGTTATGTTATATTGTATTGAGATATGAGGCTGGGTTGGCTTATACTTCACCCTGTTTATACATACATACCTAGGTATCCAACATACTTACACAACTAAATTAAACAAGGGAATACCACATCACGGGCCGAGGAGGGAGGAATCACGGGTATCTCATTCACATTCACACTCACACTCACACTCACACTCACCCAGCTAAACTAAACCCCTCCCTTACCGCCCCTTACTGCCCCCCATCCGCAGCACGATCCTGCTTCCACTGCCTAATCCACGCCTCGATGCGATCGACGTTGCTCTCCATCTCGTCGGTCGAGTTGCTCGTCAGCTCGACGACGATGTGCTCGTCGTAGCTGTCCCGCGCCTCCTGCAGCAGCACCTCCATGATCTCCGAGTCTATGTTTTCCTGGAGTTTGACTTCGGGGTATTTCCTGGTTCCTGTCAGCATGGGAATAATAGAGGTATGCTATGCTGTATGTATGAAGAAGGCTAAGAGAAAGAAGAAGAAGAAGAAACGGAGACGAGGGAGCGGAATAGGAATAGCAAGAGCAAGAGCAAGAGCAAGAGCAACAAGGCAGGGAAATAAATACCAACCTTGACGATAGCCGGTCGTACAACGTGCTCGAGTCCACCCGCAGCACCACCACCAGGTCGATCCAGCTCTCGGGGAAGATCTCGCAGCCGTGCCAGTCTATAATGCAGCCGCCGGCCTTGACATTGTCTTCTTCCAGCGCGTCGAGCAGCTGCCATGCCTGATTAGCTCCCATCCTTGGTCTCGTTTCTTTTCGTCTCCTTTCCCCTCTCACTTCCCACCTTCAAATAAAATAAAATAAAATAAAATAAATAAAAACCTGCACAAACTCACCTTATCCTCATCGACAACCCAGCTCTTATACTCATCGTCCCAACCCTCATGACACTCCCTATCCTTAACCACCTGGTTCACCGAGACGTGCCGCAGCCCCGTCCGCTCCGCCAGCACCTCCGCGTGCGTCGTCTTGCCGACGCCAGGCGTGCCCGTGACGATGATATTCGGATCGGTGCGCATTTTGTTTTTTTTCCTTCCTTCCTTCCTTCCTTCCTTTCTTTCTTTCTTCTCTTCTCTTCTCTTCTCTCGAAAAGCTAGCCTTGCGCTTGAATTACTATTCCCTCCACACTTCGATATGTATAAGAGTAAGGTAGCAGCTCCAGCGAGAGAGAGAGAGAGAGAAAGTATCAGTCAGGGGTGCAACTTCAACAGTAGGAGGGAGCTTAGAAGTATAAAAAAAAACCCCCGACGATTAAAAAAAACCTTAATCGTCTAAAACATAAATCGTGCTTCTAAAACCCGATAATTTACTTTCGAATCAATTGCATTAGCTTTCGTTTTCATTTTCGTTTTCCTTGTTCCCTTTACGTACCTCTGCCCTTATAGCGAAAACCTTCACTTGGCAGATTTTTATTTTACACCCGGTCACGTGCATGTAACCCGTCGAATCAGGTCGCTTTATTACATAGGTACCTATATCCCCATATCAAGTACCCGTACTACTACTACTGTTAGATGCAAACGCTCATCCCATCCCTCTAACACTAACACCTTTCATACATTCGAAACAAAGACGCATTACAATTTGAAAACAATTATAAAATTCGATTTGGAGATTAGTAGACTAGGTTAGTTTGTTCATGGACATTATCTCGTAATTCAAATACGTAGTAGTAGGCTTTGGCGTACGCAGAGAGAAGAACGCTACCTCCCGGAGTTTAAAAAAAAAAAAAAACACATCGTCTCTTCTTCGTTTCGTTTCGTCAGCATGTACAAACCCATACACCTTAGCTAGATGCTACAGTATCACACGTCTCATTTCGTCTCTTCTCTTTTTTTGGTATACACTCTCCTCTCCTATCCTCTCCTCGCCCACCACGGGAAACTAGGACGTCTAAAATCATCATAAATATAAAAGGCATCAGCTTGCATGCATGCATCGTTAAAACGCCCCCGGTCCGTGGTTCGTGCGAGCCTTTCTAGTTCAATCATGCCTCGAATATCCATTAAAATATCCACCTTGGCTCGTCCCAACCGCTACATCTCCCCGTGCGGTCGTTTACGGGACTCGAAGCTGCCTGCTGTCTCAGCCCTTATATGAACCGTCTATGTTGACATGTTCGTCCCGTGCCCCTATCCGCCCGGGCATCGCCATATTCTTACTGTTATAGGAAGACGTGGCATCTTAGCTCCGGCGGGTCGCAAGTTGCCGGTATTACGGTTCTACGCACTGCCGGTTTCAACTTCGTCGACCTCGGCTAGTTCGCCATCACCGTCGTACTCGTCCGCTTCCATCTTCTCCTGTTGCGCGATGGCCTGGGCAGATACTATCTCCGCCAGCCTCTTTAGTCGAGGAGTTTGTAGCCCTGTAAAGAACCTGTGTTAGCCGTCATTCATCTCAGGTACAAATACAATAAGCTTACATGATGGGGTGTATGTCTCCAGAGCGGTAATAGCGCGGGGTTCTGCGATCTCATACGGTCCGCTGTCGTCCATATCTACCGCTGTCAACAAGAGAACGTCGCTCTTCTCCGTTACTCTCGATGCTACCGCCTTCATGATTTCTCCGTTGATGGGCTGCTCGTAATCCGCCACTAGATATTGGTTTAGCAGCTTCTGGATCTGGTTGGGAGAGAGCCTGCGAATATGAGTCAGCTACGTCAAGTCATTCGAATCTCAGTCTCTATACTCACATCCAGCAGATATCTTGGATGATCTCAATATCGTTCAAGGTCGCTTTCTTGAGCTGTAAGAGTTTCGTTGCTTGCTGAATTGAGCGTTAGCTATAGTCTCTCTACAAGTACTCGTTTTCGGTCAACTTACCATAAGATGCTCAAGCTGCAGAGTGCCTTCGGGCATGTCGTGACTCTTGCACCACTCTTCAATCCGAGTAATATTGTAGTTGATTTGCAGGCCACGCTTCCACGAGAGGAAATTCCTGCGCATGAGTAGGTCGTTGAACGCGGTAACGCCCACCAACTTGAGGAGCTCCGTGACGGTTTGTGTAATGATAGTGTCTTCCAAGTAGTAAGCCTTCATCGCCCTGAAGACGCTGTTAAGCAGGCTTAGCAGTTGGTCCATGCTGTAAGCAGGCTGCGAGTTGGTCGCCAACAGCTTGCCGAGGAATCGGTTGCTTTCGTTCGTAACGAAGCCCGGTAGGGATTGAGACTCAATAATAGCAGGAATGATCATCTTCTGCAGCTTCTTCTTGAGAATCTTCATCCACGTATGATAGATGTTGAATTCCAAACTCTCAAGATCGTGCTTGACAATTTCCAGTAGACGGTCGTACTCGTAGTTGTCCGTCTTTTGGGCCTCGTACCAGTCCTCGGCAAGGAATACAAATGATAACATCTCGTGCACGTTAGACAACCAGAAGGCACCTGGGTTAATCGCGTCATCCCCATCGTAATGCATAACTTCTTGCTGGATCGACTGCATAACGTTTGCCAAGAATCTCTCCGACTCCTTGACGAAACCATTGTTCCACATCTCGGACGTGACGAGGTTGATGAGGTAAGAGGGGAAGAGAACTTCCTTGTCTGAGGGGGGCGGTGTCGTGCTTGGCGATGGGATCTTTAGGTTCTTGATCAGACCCAATGTGACCTCCTCGTTCAAGCCATCTTCATCGGCAAGTAAGTTCTCCAATTCCATCTCGATAGTGTCCGCGCCCGGCATGTAACCAGCGCCCGGCCTGGCGTTGGTAACTGCCATAGAAACTGGGCGAGGGTTGTACGCCGCGCTGAAGCGGTCCATTCCGCTGGGTTCCGCGCCGGCGCTCCTGCGCTTGGGCTTCTTGGACGACACCAAGTTGATGAGGCCGTTGGGAGGAGCGGTAACACCGTTGCCGTTGGTAAGCTCTCCGTTGAGAGGAGCCGACCGCTTGGCCAACTCGAGCTCTTCGGCCATCTGGGATAGTTGATCCCGCAGGGTCATCTTCTCGTTCTCGTGAAGCGTACTCTCCCGCTTGATGCGTTCCAACTCGGCATTCGCGGTTCGTAGAGACTCCTTGAGCTCCCGCTCCTCCTCTTGCATCCGCTTGACGCTCGAAGTTGACTCGTCGAAGTTGTGCTGCAGCTTCTTCATCTCCTCCTCCATGGCCTGCAATTTGGCTACGGCGATACCAGCCTGGTTGGCCTCTGCTTGGAGCTCCTTTGATCTGGTCTCGAGGGCATTGTGACGGGTCTTCCACGACTTGATTTGGTTTTCGTAGTTTTCCACCTGGCTCTGAAGATTCTTGTTCTGAGTCTTCATAGTACCCAGAGACTGCGTGAGTTCGACGACCTTGTTTTCCAACTTGTACGAAATCTGCTTCAGGTCGCGAGCTTCCTCGCGTATCGACTTGTATCCCTTCCTTGCCTGTCTTCCGCGCCACAAGCTCTGTATCAAAATCACCTTCTTGCGGTAACTTCTCCACGTTCTGACTTGTCGCCTCGACCGCCATACCCGCTGGATGAGAACAACAGCGTTGCCCACGCGAGTTTCCATGATCTCTCTCCTTCGCAGGTAACCTTTCGCAATAGCCTGTACGAGTATGACACTGTTGCGGATTCGCAGGAATTCCCTGCGTTGCTTTTGTCCCTTCCATACCCTCTGTATTGTCGTCGCAGCCTTGACCGTACGTAATTCCTGAGCTGCTTTCCGGGTCGTATAGGCTCTGACGAGCGACTGGAAGGTGACGATAGCACTTCGTGCTTCGAGATACTTACGGCGGTAGTATTTGGCCTTGAGATTCTTTTGGATCAAGGTAGCAGCCTCGGTCATGCGGCTCTGGCGAAGGTTTTCCAGGTGCGCGAGCATACCCGCACGGAAGAAGATCTTAGTCAAACCTAGCTGGTAGCTATCGGTTCCAGTGCTTGTGACTGAATCACCGAGTGCTTGGGCCAGAATCTCTTTAACCAATTGCCGAATCTCAGTCTGCCACCGGCTTGACGGTATTAGCAAGTAGTACCGTAAAGCAAATTCCTCGTAAGTCCAGCGTCCGGGGTAACCAGCGCAGCTGATACGGATGGTCTCGAGGACACCACAAGCCCTCAGTTGACTGAGAACCATGGGCCCTTCAAACTTCCACGCAACCTTGGCCTCATTCGGCTTGATACAGCGGATATAGTGGACATTGGTGTTGCCAATTGTGTTCATTAATTCGATAAGCGAAGAACGGAAAATGCCACCGAGGGTAGGCTTGCGGTTAACAGCAACTCCTATCTTCCTACCCGCAGTAGGCTTCGCAACGGCGGAGCCCGAGGCAGCGACATCCTTTTCGCGGACGGCCAATGCTGCCGCGAGCACGCTACTGAGGAACTTATTCGTCGTCGCGCGAAGAATCTCCATATGCTCGTCGGGTACTGTATCCCTATTTTTATCGATGAACCCCTCTGACTCGTACGTGACATCGACAGCATAATGACAGACGGTGAACGAAGATTTTCCAAATCGGGGCTTCTTGTAGAACTTGTTCTTAGCACCAGAAAAGTTGTGGTGGAGCTTCGTAACGAACTGATCATCAGTGCCCATAGGTAGCCTAGACTCTTCGTCGAGAAGAGACAGAATACCTAGTTTACCTTCGATCAAATCGATACACGGCTGGTTGTCAGAGAACTCGATAAATTTCCAGTCGATCTGTTCTCGCACGTATTCTTCTTGTTCTAATCTGAATACGTGCGAGTTAAACTGCTGCTGCAACTTCTCGTTGGCATAGTTGATACAGAACTGCTCGAATGAGTTCTTAGCAAAGTGCTCGAAACCGTAAATATCAAGTACGCCGATGAAGGAGGAAAGACGACTTAAGACTTCCTCGGTGGCAAGACTCCTGTTGATGACCTCCACCAACCAATCGAAAAGACTCGAATAAATGTACTTGGCTACCGAGTCTCGCACGACTAGAGCTTGCTGTTGTGTCAAGTTCGAGACGATCTTCTCGCCGCGAGTGACAAGCTGCTTCTTCACAATCCACTTGGCGAAGTTTGTGGCGTCGATCCCAAGAATGGAACAAGCTTTCTCTAGAGCCGGTTCTGTAGGGGCCAGTACACTGTCGTTCCTGGAAGCACCGATCTTAACGTTACCTAGGTGTAGCAGACCGGCAAGGAGGTTGAAGATACCGGCCTGCTGAGCTTCGTCGACACCGATTGTCTTCAACGAACTCTTAGTGGCAATAAATTCGGCCTTGTCGTCCATGCCATCGATCGTAGGAGAGTTTCCCTGGTTAAGGTAATCAAACTGCTCGACCGGTAGTAGGCTAAGCTCTTGTCGTTCTTTATCCGTCGCTCCGGCTAGTAACTGATAGAAGATGTGGTAGTTCCTTTCCTTCAGGGGCTGGAATACCAATCTCGACCGTTCGAGGAGGTATGTTCGGATCCTAGCACCAATGAT